GTAGACGTCATTCAGGAAAAAACACGGCACTTCCCAGTCGTCCATTTTGGTTGCCGGCCGCTCCCACATGAAACCGTACTGGAAAAACGGTACCAAACGGAAGGGTCGTTTCTTGCCGGTGTAGAGCTCCTGCGGCGAGGCACCCCCTGCGTTGGAAGGAGATGCAGACTGGTTCAGCTTCTGCGCGGCGTCTTTTGCGGACTCCGCCCAGAGCTCGTCGCCCCGAACGCTCAGCCCGCGGATACGAGAAAATCCAGCGGGGCCAAGTATCTCTTGGGCAGCGCGGCGAGACGCCTTGCCGACCTTGAGGCACCTCTGGATGGCGCTCTCGACGACGCCGTTGTACTGCTGCACGCCGGGAGGGGAGTACTCGATCGCGATCCCCATGCTGGCACAGAACTCCTTGAAGTCGCCGCTGGTCCAGAGGGCGTCACAGTCGCCCCGGACGCACTTGATCGCGGTGCCAGCCTTGTGGGCGGCGTCCACGACCATGCGCTTGAAGACCGCCAACGCCTCCGACTTCCGCCGCATGGCATAGCAGACGATCCAGCCCGTGGCGGCGTCCACACCGAAGAGCATGTAGTGGTTGCCGCCGATGGTCGCCGTGTACCCGCCGCACATGTCGATGTGGAACATGTCGTTCGGCGCCCTCTTGCCGCGGTATCCGCCCCCCTGCTTCGGCACCCCACCCCCGGTGTTTGCCATCGGGGTTTGGGTTTTCGTCGCTTGGCAACGACGTTGTAAAACAAGCCCCCCACTCGGTGTTTGCCATCGGGATTGGGTTTTCGTCGCTTGGCAACGACGTTGTAAAACAAGCCAATTCACTTCGTGAACTCGGCAACCAGGTTACCGTTTTTTTTTTTTTTACCTCGGTTTTTTTTTTTGGCGGTAACCATGAATGGTGGTCGAGTAGATCATGTTGTGCGGGGTGGAGAAACCTCACTCCGCGCAACGGGGGATGATCGCACCACGTTGTGTTAAAATGGTCAAGCATCCTCGAGGCAGTTACACAGTGCTTACAACTGTCTCTGGAAGTGAAAGCACCAGAAAATAAATTAAGTCATACGTAGCTGTCATCCGTACGCAAGGAAGTAAGCACAAGATGCCGAACACCCTTAGCAGGATGGCAGCTCACCCTTCATGCGACTCGCCAAATACCTCACGGCGCTTCGCGCTTGGTGATGTGAGAGCCTGGTCCGGTGAGAACCCGGCGTGCTCCGTCCCGGCTTTGTAGGGATGCGAGGTCAATGGTCAAACGACTACGGCATGCACGACTATGAGTACACCCCCCTGCTTCGGCACCGGTGCCCTCGTCCCCCGCGCCGGCAAGCACCACCGGCAGCTGTCCATTGTGCCCGTGAGGGTGATTCCGTGTTGTTTTGCGGATAACCTCAAGATTGGTTCGGACAAGTGGCCGGCACGGTTGTGGAACGTGTTAATATCCATAACCTTTGTTGCATTGCCGACATGGAAAGGCGTCTTACCCGGACCCAACACAGCCAAAGCACGATCACACTCAGCACCCTCCCAAACATCTATCATCCTGGCAGAGGATTCTGCCGAAACATCCGTCACGCGGGGGGGTTCAAAATCCGAATCCAGAAGGCAAGTCAACACTTCAGATCTCTGGGCATGCATAAAGATGTTCAACATGCAGGAATGGGCCCATTCTCTCGAGGGGTCACTACTCTCGGCAGTAGAGGCCGGCTTCACCAGAAAACTCTCACGCGCAACATTCACTTGAGACACATCTTTGTGGGGAAGGCGGGAGGCGAAAAGGGAGTCACTTGACACTCCACGGATGAATCGTAGTTTACCGTGCAGCAGTTGAGTTCCGCTAGGGTTTATGCGGACTTCATGCTTGTGCGAAAACTTTCCAAACCGAAAAAAGATTGAATCCACACCCGGGCACAAACAAAACTTCTGGCACAGTAATGTCTATGTCTTCCTGTTTCCCGTCGGCTCCGATTTGGTGGAACCGAAGGTCTAAGCTTCCTACAGCTGCAACCTTGATGAGAGCCGAGTCTCCAATTTGAATAAATTGTTCATCCTGGCCCAAGTGGCGAATGTCGTACATGTGATCTATCTGGTTCGAAATCATCGCGCTCGCTCCAGAATCGGCCTGCCACTGCTCGCTACCCTTCGGATTCGGCATGTACGGTTGGCATAGAAAAGCTTTGTCTACTGTGGGGACGCTTGGTGACACGAGCTACAATTAGCATTCCAGATACATCAGAGGCAGCAGGCACAATCTTATCCGGCTCAGCAGTCGCGATCACAGCAGGCATAGAAGGCACCCTCACATCATGGACAGCATGCATTATCCCATCAGACTCAGTACTCACAACCACGTCAGGCACAGCGGGCACAATCGCATCAGTCTCATGAAAATCGGTCTCCTTCTCATAATTCTCGAACATCGCAGACAGACTCGGAGAAGCAACCCTGTGCAAATCTTGCTCAGAAAAACAGTGATTCCTATCGTGACTCGCAAGCATTTCAGGGTCAACACCGGGTACAGCAGGTACGAAAACGTCAGACGCCTTAAAACCAAACGCAGACTCAAGAAAAGAATCAAACTTGCCTCGAGGGCACACACTTCGTGCCATGAAGAGACGAAGAGGGGCGTCGCCAGCAGGAGGTAGAACGTCGCCTGGATCTGGAGAGGGAGAGGAGGAGGAAGAGGCCGCCTGAGGCACGCCGTGGTACTGCTGCTCCTGCTGCTGCTCAAAACTCGCCTGCTGCTGCGGGAAGGGCGCCGGCTGCTCCGAGACGTAGAAGGCCTCGTTGTAGACTCTCGGCTGATACGCGTCAGGACCTGCAGCAGAAGGGCAGTATGTTACGTTGGCCTCCTGCTGCTGGTGCGGCCCGCCGTCTTCGGAAAAATAGCCGAAGCCAAATCCCCCGCCGGCGTTGCCGTAGGAACCGCCGCTGTGGTTCCCCCCGTGAGCCGCGAGCCCATACCCGTATCCCGCCTCGGAAGGTGATGGGGCCCAGCTTGGCGTGGGTGCCGGCGCCGACGTTTGCTGCCATCCCGAGCTGCTTTCGCCACCGAACGAATCTCCGCCCCCGATGGCCAGGTGAGCCGGAAAAAAGGGCCGCGGGACGCTGGCAAGCTGCCCTGCAGGTACGTTGGCCGGCGGGAAATTGCCCCCGCGGCCGCCGCCTTGCCCACGGCTTTCGTAGGGGCGAGGCCCGTAGCCGCCGTAGCCCCGTCCCCCATCGTTGCGCCCCTGCATCTGCCCCCCAGCTCCGGGTCCTGGCCCACGCGGCGGCCCCTGAGGCGCATGAGGGTGGCCCTGACTCCAGCCCGCACCGTGTTGGAATTGGTACGACTGCTGTACTGATGGACCACCAACCCGCCCCAGGTTCTGCGATCCGCCTCGTGGATGAGCGGCCGCCTCGGCGTCCCTCCTGCCGCTCAAGTACGCGCTGATCTCGTTGTAATTCGCCAGGAACTCGCTGCGCAACTTGTGACAGTCAGCGGTCGCGTGCGAGGTGTTGGGCCCGTGGTACTGGCAGATGTACGGTCCCAGCTGCTGCTGCTGCTGCTGCTGCTGCCGCTGCTGCTGCTGCGGTGGCTGCATCGACGCCTGTGGCTGCTGCTGCTGCTGCTGCTGCTGCGGTCCGCCGTGACCCATGCCGACAATGGCTGGTCTCCTCTGCCCGCCGCCCCGGCCCATGCCGGCAGCGACGAGGGCGTGCCTCGTCTCCTCTCCTCTCTCTCCAGACCTCCGCTCGTACCTCTGCTCGTGCTCAGCCGTCCTCAACGCCTCCTGCATTTGTGCACTCGACAACATGGGGTGAAAAAGGACACGCTCTTTAATTTTCTCAAATTCTGGCAAAAAACCCCGAGCGATGTGCTTGCACATGGACACTTCAGCACGATTATCACCGTATGACACCAGTCTCATCCAAAGCGCCTTAGCTCTACCAAAGTAGTCCATCAAACTTTCTCCATTCCTCTGACACAGCACATTCCACTGATCATCAAACGTCTGTCTTTCCTCGTTTTTACTGCGTCGGTAGTAGTCCAAGAAAATTTTGTACCCGGCTTGCGGACTCTCCGCTGCGAGCAATTGCCCTTGAATAGATTGTGCCGTGATCTTCGACAGCATGAAAATCCATACCTTCCTAGACTGCTTTACTCTCTCCTCACCAAACGAACGTTTCATCCAATCCACATTCACTTGAGCTGCAGCTACAGGAATCTCTGGGCCTCTCATTGCGTCAACCACTCCCTCGTTCTCCATCCACGCTTCAAACGCACTCGTGAAAATCCGCAACGCAACCTCCATCGATCGATTTTTGAGGAAATCATCACTCCAAACAGGGACCTCGACTTTGTCCCGCTGTTTCAACTCTACTGTCTGGGCGCTAGACGTGCCTGAATGGGCACGATGCCCCTGGTCCTGGGAGTTTGCCGTGAAAGCATGCTTGAGAAGGTCGACCAGCTGACGCATCGAGTCTTGCTGATCTCCCCCCGCCTGCCGCTCTCCCTCCCAGATTGTCTTGTTCTTCTGCATCGGCGGTGAACGAATAGTTGGTTCCTCCATCGCCGGTGCCTTCTCCCGGGGAAGGATCACCATGACCTTGTCCCCCCGGAGGCTGTCGTCCGTCTCCATCCGGCATCTTGCGCGCGTAGACACAGCGGCCACTCTCTTGATCGAAACGCTAGCGTGTTGAGTAGCTTTGTGCGTGGGTGCCTCGGCGCGGGGTCCCGTAGTGGGAAACAAAAGGTGCCAGCAGCTGGGTACTGCCAACGGTCAAAATGTAGAAACTATCCGCGGGCGTGAAAGCCCTTCTACGTGGTGGAGCGTGGAAGCTCGTGTATAATATAGTTGTGGTGTGGAAGCCGGGTGGCGTGGTAGCCCTGATGTAAAGGTATATGTAGGGACGTGGGAGTCCTGAAGGCGTGGAAGCCGGGTTGGCGTGATAGCCGGAGTATGGGCGTGGAAGCCGGGGTTGGCGTGAGAGCCGGAAAAAGGACTTGATTATACACAGAAAAAGGAAGTGAGGAACCACAAGCCACGCACACAAATTCCGTTGTAGACACCCATACCCTCAAACCTGCAATATGTGATAAAGTTGGTACCACCAAATCTAATCCATAGCAACCATTGAACCCCCAAACTCCCCGCTCCATCTGCTCGGGAAATTCTTGCTCGCAATAATCTGTTGATGCTGTGAGTACATCCAACAGTAATAGCGTCATGACTGTAGTAACGGCAGTTGGAGGTTCGGAGCAGTTTGCCACTGGTCGGATGCAACGTTGGCTGACCCTAACCCTCTCAACCATGTCTTTCCGCTTCCAGGTGCACTTTGATCTGCGCAGCGCTGGACAAGGCCACATCCGACGCGGACATGGCGGACGCAGCGATGCCGGAGGTTCATCAGCAAAGCTGGACCCCACACAGGGCACAGGTGAATCAAACCGTTTGTTCTCTGCGGTCAACGTGCCGGAACGCACCGTAGCAAGCACCTTATGATTGCTGTTACCACGTTCGTTCGTTGACACGATCACGGCAGAGCCCGCACGTGTCGTGAAAGCCACCGTAACAAAGGGATCAGCAATATGCTCGTATTCGCAGAGAGACGCATGCTTGAAGCTTATGGAGACGATTCTAGTGTGTTCCTCTAGTGGCTGTTGAGGCAAAGCCGATCGGGAACAGAACAGAGTGTGCTTTCGTGCATAGTGTCAAACCTGCCCTGTTTCGCCTTCGTTCAACTCGACACGCTCCAGCGGACACAAGAGACGATGTATCGCCTTCGCCGACAAATAAGAGAGGTAAACGGCACAGAGAAAGTTGTGAAAGAAACCTTTCTTGAAGAGCAGAATCTGCTAGGAGAAGACCTGGAGTCGGTGCTGGACGGAGCGCTGCAATCGAAGGCCCCGGAAGATGGGCAGAATTTGCTCACCTACGCTGCCGCTCAGGGCAGGGATGCGTGGTTTTTGTTCATCGCCGGCAAGATAAGGTCTAAGGTGAGTGAAAAACGCCAGTCACTTTCAAACGATGCCCACGGGGGTCTACCGTACAATCGCGAGGTAAGCGCCAACAGGCAATAGCACAGAGTATATGATTGGCTGAACTTTAGCTTCCTTTGAACGGTGCGGATGTGCTGTTAGAATTCAGCGGTTTCGCCTGGGAACAACGTGATCGGCGAACGGATCAGGTTCGTGCCTTAGCCGGTTGTACACGAGATCACTCCTTTGCTCGGTTTTTCACTTTATTGCTACCATCGCTGTGTCGACCGTTTGTCTGGGCGATATATATAAAGCACTGAGATCATGCGCCCTTCTCCGTTACGTGCAGCGAGACACGCGGAGTAGCTAGCCGACCCGCAAGTTGCGGCTTGCAACAAGACGACGCTTGGTGACAACATCGTTGTTTGCAATATATCAAAGAGTTCGAGGCTACGACAAACTGATTGCATCTCATTCTCCGGTGTTCTAGGTGTTGTCGTATTTCAGCAGTGGGGATTGGCCACGTGTTGCCCCGTTATTCTGTCACTCTACCATGCTTTCCCCTCTGATATTCCTCATGTGTCGTCTGTGCTATTCTTGTTGTCTCTGAACCTCGTCGTGTCACCATGCGTTGTTGGTTGGCACGCAGAACATCTATCCCATATGCTCTCTCAGCCTCACTTGCCTACCGCCTCGCGCGTGTACCTTCGACGAAGATGGGGGTCCGCGCACTGGCCAAGGAGCTACGGGAACTAGACATCGACCGGGCTCCTCTTTTGTTCAACGCGGCTGCCAGCCGAGGTGAAAAATCGTGTTTTCGAACGGCGCACGATCTCGTCTACAAGGCCCTCGGGAAAGGCGGGTTGTTAGAGCAGCTCGGAGCTGTCGACGGCGAGGGTAGAACGATGTTGATGCACGCGGCACGGAGCAACAATAGTGACGCTTATGACGAAATTGTGGGCATTTACTTCAAGGTCGTCCCTCTCACGTCTTCTGGCTATACCGAGAAAGACCACAAGGGCATGAACTGTCTCCACCACGCCGCGGAAGCGGGGTGTAGCGAGGTGCTGGGCAAGGTGATTAAAAAGTACAGCGATGCGGGAGGGTCGTCATATGCTGAGAGAGACAACAACAACCGAACCCCTGTGATGTGCGTCTTGAGCGACGCCAGCCGGGAGGAGCGCGCCGATGACAGTCTACGAGATAAGTTCACCCTGCTGTACAGCAACATGTCCACAACTTGCGGTGAACAAGACGAGAAGGTGTGCACTCATGACGGGGGACACGCCAAGCAAGGGTGGATGGAGATGACGGATGTGCCCACGCAGCAAATATCGAGAAGTGAGGAGATCAGTAAGGCGCGAGGGGTGACGGAGTTGATGCATGCTGCACGAGGCGGGTTGGTGTCTTTGGAGCTCGCTCTCAACGAGCCTCTGCCCTCGTCTAGACTAGAGGATGGTTCGATAAGCCTCGACGGAGCGCTCAATGTCGAGGCTTGTGACGAGCCTGCTTCGGACGAGCCAAGATGGGAACCGCAGCCTGCCTGGGGGAAAGGGTTGCTGCTAGCGGCGGCCGCCGAGCGGGGCGACATTGATGTGCTTCACGTTGTCCTCACCGCCATTAAGGTTAGTCGAACTCTTGCCTTGCCATCAACGGCTGGCCTCGCTACCACACTCCAAAGCTTACAAAAGCGCGGTTCTTCAATTTTCATTCCTTGATTGCCTTCGTTGTGCGTTGCGGGCGTCTGGTGCTTGCAATCAACAGGACAACAAGTTCACCAAGGAACCGAACACCGACAGATTCACCCTGCGTAAGCAAGAGAGTCGCCTCGCAGAGTTGCCGTATGGCGATGGCGAGAAAGTGAGGACAGTTGTGCGAGAGATGAGCAAAGGCGGGAAATCCCTGTTTTCGGAAGCCATCTTATCCGGGCAGACGGTTGCCGTCAAGCACGTGTATCGCCTAATCGTCAAGCTTTTTGGCAAAACCCACCCCGAGGTATGAAGGTTGGACGGCGGATACCTGTTGGCTATCCTGTGTTGTCGTTTTCAAGGGTACCTTTGCGCTCGAACAAACACGCCACGAGAGATTGAAACTGAGCTATGGTCATTGTTTGGGCTTGTGGCAAACCCCGAAAAGATCGTTGCCAAGAAAATGAAATCGTCTCCAAGAGCTGCATTACAATGATTTGTTCGGTTGGCTCGCACTTGTTACATTGTGGGCAGTGGTTTCCCCCTCCTCGCGCGAGCCCTTCCAACCTCATGGTTGGCATCATACGACAAGGGCGGTGATATTACTCAATTGCTTGAACTAGGAGACCAAGTTGCGGCTTTCTCTGTTTTTTGCTTTTTGTGGAGGGCACGGATGGTACGATGAAGGATCCTATCGTCGAGCAAGGGGTGTGTAACCATCTCATGTGGGACGGGTACCGCCAGGCGCCAACGAGGCAGGGGCACAGTAATAGCCATATCTGTCTCAGGAGGTGACGACCACACCGAATTGAAATCAAAAACTCAAGTCATCATAACCTGTTATCCATATGAACATGGCAGTACGCACGTTGCGACGTCCGACCCCGCAGTTGACTAAATTTATGAGGATACCGCACGCCCTTCGCGCTAGCCTCGCACCTCACGGGCGCGTCAGCGTGGTGCTATGCGAGCCGATTCCGCGAAAGCTGTATGGGCGTGAAGACTGTGGTCAACAGACTAGCACCGCGTGCGCGATCATGATCCCCCCCTGCGCGCCGACCCGCGGCACTGGAGCCGCCCGCTTCTGTCAACTCAAATTTGATATAGTGACAAGGCTTGCGTCCGAATTTCGTGCTTTAGAACCTCGTGAGACACGATTAATTCCAGAAAGCCTTGAACAAGGAGTGGCAAGGCGAAGAAATTTCTCGTTTGCCTTCTTAGTTATTTCCCTGCCCAAGGTGACGTAAAGGAGTGGGTCATGTTTCACAAACCTGCACCATCAACGTTCATACCTACTACCTTGCTGTTGCCACTATCGGCGATGTCTCCGGGTTTACAGACCTGGGCTATCCTGACCGGGAGAGACTTTAATAGCGGTAAAGTCGCCGAGGCCAGCCCTCTCGCGTGCGCGGCGTCGGCGTCTATGGAGCCATGTGACCACGGGCGCGACACGTTCGACTTGGTATACTCCTACCTTCAAACGGTGAGTCGGGACTGACCGCTTCAGCCACGGCAGTATTGATTTGGCTGGTGGGGCAGGGCGAAAGGGATTGCCGAGAGCAAGGGAAAGGCAGCTGCGTGGCGAGAACGTTCTGTGCTTCTTGTATCTGCGAGGCGTCCCCGTCGCTCCTTCTTTGTGAGTATCACGTTATTCTGGATTTTTGGGCAATACTACACCAGGTCCGTACAGGTGGGTGGCGTCTTTTTTCTTTCCTTGACTGGCATTTCCAGTGACTTTGTGAAACTCGAAGGTACTATCTATCCGATGCTCGCTCCCACAGAAGTAACCATGGTGCCCTTCCCAACGTTTCGGATGCTGAAACTCTTTTGTACACAGCACGCGCCGGACGAAAAGAAGTTGCGGATCCAACTGGTACCGCAGCCACCGCCGCTGGATTTGACGGCGAAGACACAGATTTCGCCTCTAGTGGGGGCTGCGTTCAGCAGTAATTGGATCCTGTTCTGGAGGGTCTACGACACCTACACAACGCTGGCCAAAAAGCCTTGGTTACGCACAAATGTGAGCCAGCCGAACAGACGTGGAGGCGCGCGTAAGGGCAAGGTTTCAGCCTCTCCTATTGTCCGCTTGGGTTTGGCGACGCCCGAGCTCAATGTTGCCCTTGCTTTCTGCTCCAACATGTGCCGGATGCGGGCATGTGTACATTGATATTCGAACTTATGGGTGATACGCTTGAGAACATCGCGGAGAGTTTCTTGACTCTTGCTCCTAATGGCTCCATTGCATCCAAATGTCTACTTCACCAATCACCATGTCCGTGGACCGTCGAGGTCACATGTACCCTCTCAAACATGTTTCCCGTGCTGCCGTCCTCGCCACCGTCCCTTCGCATTGCACCCTTTCTTAAGCATTTTGCCTGGGTAGCTGTGAATTTAATCTGGCATAAAAGCAAGCTATTCGCCCCTGGACTCATACCGTTTCGGAACTAATATGTTTGACTCAAGTGGTGCACCGGAGCGAAAAGGGGTAGCAACTTTCTTCTTCTTTTTCCTTCTGTTGTTTATTTTCCCTAATCTATGGTTACCTCGCATAGCGTGTAGCGGCGACCGGGGGGTTCTAGACTATGTGTCGTTGATTTCTATTGACTTACGGACCCTTCCGGATCCATTGTATTTTAGTGTATCTTTTTGGGTAGGTTAGCCTGTTACCACGAGAATCGACCGCGTCAAGTGTAAGACTAGTACGGACAGAAAAAGGTACTGGGTAGAGAGATCGGAATGGTTTTTAATGTGAAAACAACAACAACAACAACAACAACAACAGACTTGACACCGGCCAATGCTGTCTATTCTAGTGTCACAGCTGAATCGGAAGATGGGCACTGATTTATCGGCTGTTCCCAAAGTTCGAGGGCGCGGTCGTTACCCTCTCGTACGCCACGCCGATAGTTCAGCCTCGCTTTTTCTTCACACCTGGAGACTTCCATGTTGCCTGAGCGTGGGAGGTTTTCGTTTTGTTTTTGAAGTTTGATCAAGCCCTGTGACGGTCGGAGAATACGGCAGCAATGAGCGTCTCGCGTCGGTATGTGGCGGAGTGCCCTATTCCCGGTGCTTGCGACAACGACCGTGGTTAGATCCGTGCAAAGGCACGGCATTTTTCGAAAGGATGCGGTCGTAGGCCAAAGGGAGATGCTGGATGATGCATTACAAGCTTGATCTCCAGCTAGTTCACTTGCTCGGCACTCACTTTTAGGTTTGGCCAGAGAGAGCGCCCGCACCCCTGGAGGTTTACGGCTACCAGGACGACATCCCCAACCCCATTCTTCGTGGAGCGTGGACGATTCCAGCTGTCATGTGGCGTGATATTGTCGAGGTTCGGCGGGTGGTTGACGGAGAAGGAACACTCAAACCCTTTCTGCCGCGCTCGCTTGCCGGGCATACAATATAGTTGGCCAAACATTGCAACTAGCATGTGACTGAACGTTACCGCAAGAGCCTTGGAACCAACTATGGCTTGACCTGTTTACGCTTCTGCTGACCTGGATCTCGCGTGTGTTATTAGTTCGCTTGAGGCTTCTCCGGGTTACGGCGTCACCGGCAGAGGTTCGGTATTCATACGATGGCATGATTTACGCTTCCCCGTGCTGTAGACTAATAGATCGATTAGGCAAACACCTTGGGCTGAAAGACGGCCGTTTGTTTTCCTGTCGGCCAAAATTGCGAACATATTTGATTTTCGCTTCCCTTGGTCGCACGAATCTACCCGGAAACCGAACACTGAGACAAAACGTAGAGGCATTCCTTCGTCGTGAAATCGCGGTTGGCTTTGCGTTGAAAATGCGTATGGCCCTCTTCGTTTGCTGATGTAGGCTCTGAGGCGGGCAACTTCGGACAAGTCTGGGGGCGAGGAGTTAATGTCCTGGAGGGAATACTTGAGGGCCTATTCCTCGAGGGCAGTTCACGTGGCGTCTGAGCGAGGAGCCTTCACTGATCTCAGGTAGCTGCCTCGGTGTACCCTACGACACGACGGATGTTACATGGTTACACCAAAAGAATAAACACGCATTCGTGGTGCCCCATCACTGAACTCGGGACGCCGAAGGACGTCGTCACGGGGCGGGGGATTATTCTAGGGCATGACAATCGACAGAAATGTGACGTTTGATTGTGATGGATTTCCGCATTTTGGCCGACATGTTATGGCAGTGTTTGAGTTGTAGCTCGCCAATGGCTTTTGGCCATGGCAAGTCCATTTCTACTCGAATGCTGATGTTTTAGCAGCAATCCGTCGACGTCTTAGCGGCCAACGTTCCTGCTGAAGGAATTTTGATTACTGATATGGCAATACATCGCAGCGATCGAGATGTGGAGGATGACGTCCCAGATCCATCATGGCAATCCGGATACCGTTCGTCACGCAAAAATTTGGTCCAAGAGATTTCGCCGAAGTTTTACGAGCCATGTTGGGTTGATTGGTGCTCTGCCGTCTCCAACAATTTTTACCAGGCTGGGTTTGGACCGAACACGACGAATCCACACGCTGTACTTTAGCCTGCGTTTCGCCTGTTCCTTAGCGCGGCTACATGCTACCTGCTGCGATCCGGATGTGATCGATGTTGCTGCCGCACGCAGGGACTTGGTCAAGGAGGGATTTCCTCTCCACGATGACCACATTCCAGCTCTCCTGGTTAGTATAGGGGATCATGAGCAGGATATCATCGAGACCGTTCTTTTCGCCGTGGCGAACGCGAGGTAAGCAGAATCACTGGCAATTTCCACAAGGAAAGTTCGAAATCCTTCAACGTTGGAAATCGCGAGAAACACAAAATTATGCAGTATGTTCGTTCGAGTTATTGATGCTTCCCCTGGCGTGGAAGTGACCTGGGGGCATCAGTGCAGTCACCTGATACAGCATTATTTCGTTCATTGACTGGCGGCTCTGTGTTCGGTTTTCTTATATCATGGTTGGATCGCAGCAACCCGTTCGGGATGGCAGCTGGGGTATCCAGATTCCTTAGGCGGGCGAGAGTGGACCACCCCATGCACCAAAGAGGACTCCGTCGCCTTCAAACCAGAATCGACCGTTTTACCCTTGAGGTAGGCGGATGAAATGTGGTGAAATGGAAGTTGATTTCCGAGGTCTGAAAATGGACAAAAATTTACCAAGTAACAATAGATTTGGTGGGTATTGCACACCGGAATTTCGGACAAAATCGGACAATAGGTTTGTTTGTGGGCTGAAGACGTGCCCGGAAATTCGTAAGAGCTTATGTTCATGGTGCGCATGGGCCCTGAGCATGTTGTCTAGGCATCAGGATGAGATTTTGCGTGGGTCGGCCGTCCCACGCGTGAATTGTAAACAGGAAACGTTTGGCTTGTAGTCCTGCCACCTCCAATTAAGTCAGGTACACATGTCACTACCCGTTCTGCCATCTCCGTCCTAGCCCGTCAGTTGCAAACATACCATCTAACTGGTTTTTCGACGTGTCCACCCCCCCTCCCCCCCCCCGATTCAGCTGCCGTTTCATTTTTGGGCTGGGCTCCATTTTTGTCACGTATAGTGACACTGCTGGCCTCCCCTTCCTCCTCATCCCAGGGGCCCATGAACCTGTTGCCCCCCACAGCACTCCCTTTTGCGGAAGTCCCCCCCCCCCCCCCACCTCCGCTGCAAGAGTCCAGATGATATGAGGGACCCCGAACGATCTCTTGTTGTCGTCCGTGGATTTGGCGGGGGTGGCGAACTCTTGGAAGTAATCCTTCAGCCATTTCGGCCAGTTCTGTCCCGGGCACCCCTTGCCTGGATCCTCCCCCTCCGCGAGTTTCTCACACATTGTGTGCTTCGGGAGTCGTCCATCCTTTTGTCTCCCAATGCTCCAGCAAACAGTAGTCGCCGTGCTGTACGGAGTACTCGTAGCAGAAGCCGGCGGTGTGTCATCCTCAGGAACTGGTAGTAGTCGCGGCGCGAGGCCCGCCTCATGCATCCGTACAGTAGATCCTCCATTGCCTCCCGCTTTCGAAAGTTGGACTTTTAGTCTCTACGATGCTGTCTGCCTGTCGAAGAGCTCCCGTGAGTCCTGCCGGATACACGCCCACCCGTCTGCACCGGTGGTTGATCTCCTGAGTCACCAGTCCAACTTGTAGGTTATTTTCGTGGTTATATTCCATCAAATCATGTCACTTTGGTTTCTACGTAAATTTATCTAGTAACTCTCGGCCTTGTTCCGCTCTACTCTCCATTTCTTTTAGCTGCTGGACAAACTTCCTCACACAGTCCAAGGGATGGGAATGGACCTTCTAGGGGGGCACCAACCCATCTCCTACGGCCATGGCCTTCACCAGGAAACGATACACAGGCTGGGCAACCTTGCGGGCTTCATTGCCGTGGTATGTCGGTGCCGTGCCGTTGTCGTGTTGTACATGGGGCGACGTCCGGCTCGCACAAACCAACGCCCACCCTGAAAGGGACTCGGACAACACATTTCCCTTCGTCTGCGTCTCTCGGGAGTTGTATTGTTTGAGAAGTTTCGACGTAACCCTCAGGGTTGCACGCGAAAAACCATCCCATTCACCTGGGGCATTTAATCCCCCTGGCGGTCGAAACAATGCTTTCGACAAATTACTCCTCTCGGGGTTTACAACTCATTTCAAACAAGCAGCATGGGGGACTCCTCGTGTGCTACGGGTGACGACGTTTGACGCATGCTTTGGGCGGTTTAGGTGCTCTCTTGATGCTGCACACCCCCGTTTGTGTGATCATGGCTGTGGGTTGAAAACAACAAAAGACTGTAGTTCCTAGCTCGTGTTTTTTCCGTTCTATAACCAGGATCCACGCCGCGGGGCCCTCATGATTAATGTTGGAAATATTCTACGAGTAACCCCCTTCCCCCCCGAAAACTTCAGCAATAAACGTGGGTACTTAAGTGAAATAACTGGTTTGTGCACCGTTGGTAGCTGTACTACACGAGGACATGGCCGGTATGGCCTGGTTGGTACATCTTGAGTGAGGGCCCCAAGGGTGGTGCGAAATCGACACCATCAACTGATGTTTTCCGCGACGTTCTTTGTAAAGTGATCGCCTCAATGAAACAAGTGGGTAAGGGTCTCTTACGTAAGTGCCGAGGAGATGATGTGTACAGACAACAGCGAAAGGGAAACATGCCACGCATTCATGCTCGACGTACCATGGACTGACCACTTTCTTGTGTGTTTGATGTGTCTGTCTTTCCTCCAGCAATGGATGCTGGAACCTTCTCTTCTGGTTGAGAAAATCAACAAGGCCAAGAAGTGAGTGGAAAAGGAAGAGCTTCTCTTCCCACAAGAGAGCAATAGCATCGCAGGAATCACCTGGGGAAGGCCGTGGCAAGAATCGTGCCTACGGCACAATGTCGCACAGAAGGTTGACATATTTTTCGGTTCTCCGGAAATTGCCGATCGTCGCAGGTACCGTGGACCAGTGTACAAGGATCCTCTACAAAGCGCGTTGGACAGAGGCTCGGACGCTTTGGAATTCCTCTTCTCCCCGCTGGTGCTGGACTACGTTCACGTGAAGTTCGCGGGCACTCTCCCACACTGGTCGTCTCGCAACCCTTTCCAACCCACCATCAACGAAGGGCTTTACAAGTACGACAATTTCGAAGTCTACGATCTGGCCAAGCTTCTCCGAGGTTCTAAGAATGATCAGGCCACAGGCAGGACCGCCCCAAGCGGAGCATCCTCGGCATCGACGGGATCAACGAACCGGGGTTCTTTCCTCTGGCGGTCGCCCGGGAGCATCATGTCCTTCCTCTTGCGGTCAGTCGCGTCTCCTTGATGTTTGTTCGTTCCGTTCGACACACACCAAATGGCGAGAATGGTTCGTTGCGTATTCCGCCCAAGTACCTATCGTCACACCAATTCTGGTGATATTGCGAACACCTATGCCGTTGTACATTGCCTGGATGCAAAAGTCTCCGATCAAGTAAATAATACAAACGGTCCTGGCTCTCTTGGTTTATGTCCCATGTGTTCCGGACGCCAGTGTGCAAGCTTTGTTTTTTATTGTTGACGCACCAGTCGGCATTGCACCGGAGGAATCGCCCACCGTTCCTCCTGCGGTACTTGCCTTCAAGGGCCAAACGCGAAAAGGTGTCAGCAGCCCCTACCCTCTGTGTTTCGCGTAGTAAAACAACTACGTGCTCTTCTATAGTGCGAGATTGTTTCACTCCGGAGAGGGTCGAACCCACAACCTGTAGAGCTTGAAGCCTTTGCGAGGTTTCGATCTGAACCATGCCACCACTGCACCGATGGAATTCATGATGAGTATTATGTGCAAGGTATCGATGCTCGAGGGTGTCACCTTCGTTTTCGTTCACCAGGTTTTTGCAGGGTTGGGACCACCCGCGCAGCAACGACCAGAGCGTGTGGTCCATTCCGCACCTCACGATACTTCCAGGGCTGCAATTTTCGCTGGCTGGGATCCTTGGAAAGCCGGAGACATTCTTCAAGGTCCCCGTGATCCGCTTCGTCTACGAGATCTTCAGCTATCTGTGAGAACGGATGAGTGTGTGGTGATCCTCCGTCCAACACCCGAAATGGTTCGTTTGCAAGCACTCGCCTTGTCCGTGGTTCACCAGCAAGGCAGAGGGGCAAGTGGCGGCGAGGAAACACACGGACTGAGCCGTCCCCTTTTGGAGCCCTCGGTCGAATCGGACCATCACCGCTTCTCGTAGAGAGACGGGATCTGGTTCGTATCCGTGTCGCTGTCTGTGCAGTTAGGGAACTTCGAAGCTGAAAGCTCATTAATGTTCGGTGCTTTCCACGCCTCCAAAGAAAATCTCGCCGGGTCCTCTCACACACGCCACAGGGTGATGCTGGTGCTGTTCTGTTCTTCGGTGCTGCTCAAGGAGCCCGATTTCATTCCGCGAGACGAAGTCATCTTCTACATCTTCGCAGCGGTAAGACGTCCCTCGCTCCGAATGACCGGTTCATTTTTTTTCTGGTGATTGTGGATGTGTGCGACATTGTCGCAGGCTGCGCAGGTCGTAGCTGCCCTGAATGCTTCTGGCAGATGGCGACAAAGGTCAAATACCTGTGTGATTTCCGTGTGTATTGAAACCAGGCGTCAGCTTTTGAATGCCAACTATCCCGGTTTTACGACTGTGAACTCCTCAATTGCTATCTGGTCAAGATGCCGGTGTCATGGCCCATGCATCCTGAGCAAGAAAGCCCCTATGCGAAAGCGAGGTCACAGGAAGCGCCCATCGACGCGACCTCCGTTTGCCTAGCTCCAAGCATCGCCCGAGAAACGATTACAACGCATCAAATTCTAAACTTGGTCAACTTCAGAGGCGAAGAAGACACAGATTGGGTTGGTGGTTCAGTCGCAGTCCTTGTCTTCATTGGATCAGTAGCTAAAGACCTTTACAGATGCCTCAGAACACAAGTCAATCGATTTTCAACCCCACGAGAAGGTTACGGTTGAACCGGTCGCATTGATCACGAGACGGTTTTATCCTTACCGCCCCAAACCGTATTACCTCTTCAGTCGTTGCACTTGTCGTCGCTAACGTTTGCCTTCATTCCGAAGGGTCGCTATTTGTGTGGCTGCCTGAAAAGGAAGCACTTATCGGCACATTAAGTGTCGATACCTTGTAGTGGTTGTAGTGGGGAACCACACCAAGTGCGCGCTCTCTCTCTGCGGACAGCACCTCCTCTAATGGGTCGCTGAGAAACCCAATCGACAACAAAGCATGCATAGTTTTCTTTGGATTTCATCTGACCTGGGCGCCAAGCGAGGGATGCAAGAAGCATCAATGCCATCTGAAGGCTACTGAGTGTAACACAAGCAGGGGTGCCCCGAGACATCCGCAAAGCGGGGATCGCTCAACGACGGTTTCTGATACTGACACGGTGTTGGGGGCTACTTTGGTATGTCTCCCTCGACGATTGATTCGCTGCCGGCTTGACAGGGCCTACTGTGGCGAGAGGTGCTGGAATTTCTAGACGGGGTGCCGACCCGCCGCCACAGAACCTCAGGCGGTCCGCGAACCGAAGAGGGCGGCCGTGTGGAGCCCGGCATCAGCCATCTTGGAGCCGGGAGCAACTTCAATCGGATGGTATCGGCGTTCACCAGGTATTAATACTAATTTTTTTGATTTATTCTGTCTGGCAACGACCTCCATTCCCCTGACCCCGGGTGAGGTCAGATCCGACAAAGCAACTATGCTTTGCTTTTTTTGCACGCGAGCCCGCCCTTGTATTTGTCATTCGTTTCGCACGATATTCGGTACTGTATCTGTTGACCCTGCACACAGGTACGTGTTCTACGATACGTGGAACTTTATGGACACGTCAACAATCTGCTGCATCTTCGTCGCCTTCATATTCCGGATGATAGCCCGCTTCGACAGCGAGTTCGATCTCTTCTACGCTCAGTTCTTCTATGCCCTCAGCGCGCCTCTCCTCTTCTCGAGGCTTCTGGTGCTGTCGCAAATCGACGCCACCCTGGGACCGATGACTCAGGTATCCTTCGATTCACGAGCACATCGTCTCAATTACAATGAGATATTCATTGAGTGCACTCAACCGAGAAACGCTACCCTCAATTATTAGGTTTGCCGTATATAGCAACAAAGTAGCCTTGGAATTTTTACTGAATGATTGATGTATTGCTTCCGGATATCACCCCACCCCGCTATTCGCTCTTGACTTTAGGTGATCTGGAGGATGATGTCGCACATGCTTCGATTCTCTGCGTTCATTGCGATGGTCATGCTGAGCTTCGCCCTGGCGTTTCACGCGGTGTTTCACACGTGCGGGGAGCACAGCGAGCCTCAGTGCACCCTCGATGATGATGATGCGTTCCCCCTTCGCGACGCCTTCGGGACATTCGGAGATTCGCTGCTAACTGTGTTTTCGTCGGCTTTGGGGGGACCGGAGTTCGACCTGTTCGATGACGCGGGTAGCGACTGCAGGTGCAACCTCCCAAGAGGCGCCCGCAGCGCTGGGATATCGATGATGGTGGTAAGCAAAGTTTGGTGTTCAACGAATTCAGACGGCTGCCGTATATTCACCAACATCTCCTGACTCGTTCCGTTCAACCTTGCCCCTGCACACCGCCAGCCCGAGTTTTCGTCGATCCCAACATCTGTCCTGCTTTCGGCCCGCTCTCGCCAGGTGTATACCATCACGATGTCCGTGGTTTTGCTCAATCTCCTGATCGCCGTTCTCAGCACTGCGCACGACGAGGTATACGTCAACGCCGAGAAGGAATTCCACCTCGCCAGGGCGCGTCTGGTCGTGCAGAGCGCGCGAAGTGTCGCGCACCGCCGACCGCCACCCCCGCTCAACCTGGTTAAGCTCGGTTTTGGTGTTCTGATCGATGTGTTCACCGAAATATGGCGGTTCATCCTGTGGGCAAGGTCGTTGCGCAGCCGGTGCCTCGATTGGTGAGTTCGCAGGATTCCTAATTCCTACCGATAGATCGACAGTTCTTCTTCCGACTCACATGTTTGGTAACGTTAGTGCTGTTTCAGCCAACACACATAGTTCCTGTTGCAACTCAGCTGATTTCACAATTGTATCCCTTGTCTACCCGGTTATAATCCGTAGATCTCATGGTTCCGGATGTGGGCAATTGGGCTTCTTTTCTCTCCCATGCGTATAAGTGCCGTGACAACATGGCTCAACGTTTTTGTGTGGTTTCTCTGTCCATTTTGATCAAACCGTCGACATTTCACACAACATATGTACCGTGCCCGCTCGATTCTTTGCCGATCTTAAACGCATTCGTGATGGTCTTGTTGGCTGTCGCCGGAATGATATCAGTTCAAACGCTTCTACTGGTGCTGGTGGTGCTGGTGGTGCTAATGGTGATGGTGGTGCTGATGGTGTTGCTGACCATGCTCGTGGTCCTGGTGACGATGGTGGTGCTAGTCATGGTGCTGATGGTGGTGGTGTTGATGCCGTTGGTGCTGGCGGTGCTGGTGGTGCTGATGGTGTTGCTGACCATGCTCGTGGTCCTGGTGGCGATGGTGGTGCTAGTCATGGTGCTGATGGTGGTGGTGGTGATGCCGTTTGTGCTGGCGGTGCTGGTGGTGCTGGTGGTGCTGGTGATGCTGGTGGTGTCCGTGGCTGTGATTTTTTTTGTGCGGGCGATGCTGGCCGTGCTGGTGGTGCTAATGGTACTGGTTTTGTTGCTGACCATGCTCGTGGTCCTGGTGACGATGGTGGTGCTAGTCATGGTGTTGATGGTGGTGGTGGTGATGCCGTTGGTGCTGGCGGTGCTGGCCGTGCTGGTGGTGGTGGTGGCAGTGCTTGGTGGTGGTGGCGGTGCTGATGATGCTCGTGATACTGGTGATGCTGGTGGTACTGGTGGTACTGGTGGTACTGGTGGTGTTGGTGGTACGGGTGGTGTTGGTGGTACGGGTGGTGCTGGTGGTGCGGGTGGTACTGGCTGTGCTGGTGATGCTGGTGGTGCTGGTGGTGCTGGGGGTGACGACAATTCTGGAAGCAGGAACTCAGAACCTTTTTCAAAGAGGCCGCAGTGGATCGCTGTTGAAGGATTTCTCCAAAGGCTCGCGTTCGCTTTCACGATGGGTGGAGCCTCATTGGTCGTGTTTACCATGCTGTGGATATTCTCCGTCCCGTGGGTGGCCTGGTGTTTCCTGCGGTCGTTACTACCTCCGGTGAGCGGCCGTTTTTTTCTTTTGAGTAGTACTCGCTGCGCACACCTAACGTCGAATGGTGACCTGAATGATGGGAATGGTTTATGCAGGCTCTGTCCCACCGCAGTATTCGTCGGTGCTGCTGCTAATCGTGGGCACCACCTACTACTCACCTGAAAGAGTGATCATTCACGAGCTATTGCCAGTTCCAATTTTGGTCGTTTACAATGTACGTCAGTTGGTTCTGCGCACGATGACCCAAAACTTCTGTTCTGGACACCCCGTTCATTCGCCCCCCCTGATCTGAAATTAGGAGCATTTGCAGCGTCTTACGCAACGGCTGCTTTGCCCATCAATTACGGGGGTGTCGATGCAGCGCAAACATTTTTTGAAAACTAGACGAGTTGGGTTCTGACAGTAGAAATGGTTGTTCCCAGTGCACCACAAGTTATGGTTACGAACATATTGTGTGTTTGCATAGGAGGACGGCGAAGAGGGATTTCATCTGGACACAATCAAGATGATCAAGACTTGTTCATGCTGGAAGGGCGGGAAAGGTGTGAATATCAGGTCTGAAGAAGAGAATAATTCGTCACCGGGGTATGTACGGGAGCTGCTTTGGGTGGTCTGCGCTCTAGTGGTCATGATGGTTTCGATGGCGTTCGCCGCCGTGTTTTGTCTTCTGTACATCGTCGGCTCCGGTATCCTGTGGATTCTGGGTACCTTCCGACTCCTGGTGTGGGGTTGGAACAACTGCAGCAGAAAGCGCGACGACAAGAATCCTGAGGCAATGCCTGGACAGGAGGACGGGAGCCACTGGGAAAACGCTTGGAAGCTCGCCAATTTGCGGAATCATGGAATCCGCGAGGATCGCGAACACCCGCACTTTTACGTTGTCCCGTTCTTGAAGAGCAAGACAGGGTTAGACATGCAGCACCTCGCGCGAATGGCGAACATCGGGGACGAGAAGTCGAACTCCGAGAAAGAACTTGTCGAAGTAGATCGGGAGCTAGCAGACGCGCGCATCGACATTAGGCATCTGTCTTCGCTACTCCCGGGTGATGGTGGCGTCAGAGACGATAGAGAGTTGTGGGAGAAGCTGACGGAATCTCTGAACAACCTGCAGCATCGTTATCGCGGAATGATTCCCAACGAGATGGCAGGGCATGGGCGTTTGAGGGCTGCTAACATGTTCAAGGGAGGGCGTTGACAGGACCAGGAGTACGGGTGAAGATGCACGAAACTCCCGGGCTCCCCATGAATGATACTCAAAATATTTGCGTCTCTTTCAATGGGGCAAACCTTGGGTAGGGCGGGGCGACGAACGGGACTGGAGGTGTGCTGGGTGTGACCGGGGGCCACGATAATATTGATTGGGAGTCGTGATGACATGTATTTCTTCCAAGGTCGATTCTTGAGCGGTCCAAATCTTACCAGGCCAGAATGGAGAGGGGCCGCATCGGTCGAAAGTTGATTATCTTGCACTTTTTTACCGTGTGGTTCGTGATAATATTTGTCCACAAACCGTTTCATGCGCGGTCTATTTCCCAAGGACACCCGCTTGCTGTACGCGCACCGAGGGGAGGCTGCATCGGTCGAAAGTTGATGGTCATGTGTAGGAAATTTATGCACACAGAAGCAGATTGTCCGTTGCGCGATAGGAGCAAGTTTCCTCACGACTCTATGGTGGAGATTGAAGGCTGATCGCCGTGAGATAGCGTGTACAGCGTGTCCCCAAGTCCGAACTAGGCTTTGATTCCGAACCTCGTGGGAGTCATGTACTTAGTCTACATGACGTAGATGATGCTTACTTATATTGGAGGGAGACTAGCTTTCGACAATTAGACTATTTGTGTTGCGAGGCGCGTTTTAGACACACATACATACAGACGCCTCCTGATGGGTTACTATATATACTACATCTTGAGGACACCTTTCGTTCCGGGCACACTTTGTTGAAAAATAACCATGCCTGTTTTGGAGTGGGGTTGAAAACTTCGATGAAATTTCGATGTAAACATCGGACATCAGGGCTCGTTTATTGCCGGACTTGCCCCCGGTCTCGGTGCATGTCCAGTGGGGGAGGCACACTCATTTGCCGGGTCGGTAGGGAGAATGGAGCTTGGTGCCATGCCAGCCTGACTAAGTGGCCGATACTCGACGACCGCTGGCCAGCCATGTACAGCATTGAGCAACCCCACGCCTCCCCTCCCCCGGCGCTTACCACTGCTTCATTTCTGACAATAGTAGAGTCCATCCGGTTAAATGTTCCCACAACGTGACCCCCACTTTTTCTCGCTTGTTTTTGAGAGTTGACACGCGAAAAAAAGTTGAGAAGAACCGCAAGGTCGAGAAGCATCGATATCCGGGGTCAATTTTTTTTTGGTGAAAATGGCCGTTTTTTTTGGGGAAAATTACCCCGAAATTACCCCGAACCGACACATATTGTTCCGAAACGGCACGTATTTACCCCGAATTATTTCCCCGCAACACGTTTGAATGTCACAGATGTAGGTAACAATTAAGGTATAGGGTTAAAGGTGGAAGGTTGTCACTTGTGTCGATTTTCCGGTCTGTTTTGCTCTCCTTCAACACCTTCGCCCCAAAACTAGCTGGACGAAACCACAAAAAAAAGGTCTCACACCCCCCCGCCTGGCTATATCTTTAGTCTCGTCACTTAAATCTCTACATGACGCAAATATCCTATCCTAGAGCACCTATTCTACCTAGATAGACACCCCCGTGAGAAAATTGCCCGTGACACGGGGATCGATCCCAAAAACACATCTCGCAATAGACGCATAATAAGCCAAATCTATCTGGGAGCCTTGACAATCTAGAATTCATTGTTGTGTGTTCCTCACTGGCTGGCTTTGACGTTGTACAGGCGCAAAAAATACTGACAGTAGGGCCAACATTTGCACCGGTGTAGCACGCGGCTCGAGTTTCCCCAGAAGGCGTACTAGTTTTTCGAAGTCAAGGGCAAGGCGAGAAGAACACAAGGTGTGTCACGGCAAGTGTCGGAGGTGTTGATTTGTGCACAATAACCAGCCGGCACGGTAAATATCTTCTATTTTACGGTATAGGTAACTGACCACCACACACTTCTTAGTGTAAGTTAGCCTGTGACCACGGGAATCGACAGCGTCAAGTGTTGGGTCAGTGCGGACATACTATGGTGCTGGGTAGAGAGAGATCGGAACGGAAGAAATAAATTACCGCGGAGGACAACCCTGCAAATTTCGGAATGAATGTGGGTGCAGCAAAGTGCCAGAGTTCGCAAGTGGCCACGGGGAGAACATATGACTTGCTTCTATTTTTCACTTTTTCCTCGAACATTCGGTGACTCTTCGTCGGCTGAACCTACGTATGCATACTGATATCTGTGGCCGAAAGTTCAAAAACTTCGACAAGGCCGTCCGTTACAAGTACACACCTTCTCCTCCCCCTCTGGGAAATGGAAGGCTTGCTTCCACTCTCAACTATCCGAGCTACCTAAATCCGCACCGACTACCTTCACGCATCACGTATGCACTGACCTCCCAACGTTCAACGGCGCCCGGTCGAGGGTACGCCTTTGGCAAGACGTACGATCCGCAAGTTGTTCTTGCGGACCGACACCGCCCGCTTCTTGGCACAGCACGCCCCCCCCCCGCCGTTCTTCTTGTCCCCGACGACACTGCGAGCAACCTGACGACGCCGAGCAAGACCCCCGGCCTCCAGAGCCTGACTGGCCTCTCCTTAGATCATCTTTTGCGATTTGTCGCTTCGGAGCAACGTGACGGTATAGAACAGGTACGGCTATACGGTATCTGGCATCGTTTTTATCACATGTCACCCGAAATAAATCATGCACCAGAAAAAAATGTGGTTGGCCTCGACGGTTGCGTCTTTGGCGATGCATCCTCGTCGGGTCTCAACATGCGTCCACTGTCTCTGCCACAGTTTTTGCTGCTACGGAGAAGAGTGGAGCAGGCTCAGTAGCTGTGCAGTGTAGTCGAAAGTATTTGATCCCCAGAAGCACCAGCCAACTCTCGCACTGAAGGAAATGGGAATGGGAGAATATTTGTGCCGAATCGAAAAGGAAGCGAAAAGAATTGAGCACGGACCCACACACCCACAATCGTTCAACCCCAGCTTCGACTTGCTGTCCCCAGCATCGCATGGCGCCTGTAGACGGCGCACATGTCCCAGCTACATTCGGTACCCCCCTGGGTGCTTGTGATTATACCCCTGACCTGGTGGGTGGGGTGGACGAAGAGACCAGAGACCAGCAGATGCGGTGCGGCGGAAAAAAATACTTGTCGGACATCTGCATAAAAGAGTGAATTGAGATCAACAAAACCTACTTGATTAGACTACTTATATACGTAGGCCCAAATAACAATACATTTGCAGCCGACGTGTGAGAGGAGAGACAAAGAGGACGTGCAACAGGACACGGAGTGCACAGAGGAGAGGAAAGCGCATAGCCTACCTTCCTTGTGTTGGATAACCCGCCCTGTCAACGCGGGGAAATGGGAGATGAATTGTTATCGTTGTGTTCGCACTCTCTTTCTGTTTTGGAGGTCCACTCACCTCTTTCCAACCCTTCCGCCGGTCGCAGCAAGCCTCTGGGTGTTGCGGCTGTCGCTCTCATTCTCACGCTCACTTTTGCAACATCTCGTTGCTGGTCGTGGTCACGTCGTAATTCCATTTTGGATCGAACACGGCCCATCGACATTCTTTGGGCGGGGTGATCAGACGAAATGTTTGGAGACTCTACAAGGTGCAAATAACGTTGCAAGGTGGTGCTGAAATGATGTCCTGTGCAATGCGGTCGAGAACTTGCCGGTTCTTGGGCTCACCGCTCGGCGCCTTTGGCAAATGAAAATATTCCAGGACTGTTGGAGGCTGAGCGAACATGGCAAGGGTCGGCAAGCATGTATGGGCGCCACACAGAGCACAGGCAAGACGAGTTTCCGGGCTTTGTGCTTTTGTACGGTGGTACACGTATGCATATTTAGTGTGAAACACAGAGATCGATTTGTCGTGGGACGACCCTCCGATAATCCGTGACTACAACTGCTGTGGGCTGTGCAAGCACGTTTCATCCAAAGCAACCTGGGTTTTTGCTGTTCCTTCTTAGGCTCATGAACAAACGCCGCCTGCTGATCTACTTGGCACGGCACTGAAAGGGGAAAATAACACTTGGTTGGGTGCAGTTTGCAAACTGAGCCTCCATTCTATAGGCTTAGCAGCGTTGTTGTAGAAAACAGTCGCCCTGTATATGTGTCGATGTAAGAATTCGCGGGGAAGTAGTTTGGCTGGTGTAGACGGCACACGGCCACGTCGAAGATATAGCCAATATTGACGAAACTCTCGGCGCAGGAGCTTTGACGCGCGAGATTCGTTTCGTACCGACACGTAGATGCGCCTTCGTCGTGTAGTAGTGGGGCCGCGTGTGACGAATTGCCTGAATGCTCACTCCGCCTGTGCTAATTGGTCTTGTGCGGTCCTCCGACGGAGCGGCCAATAGTGGCCCTTCGCTCATCGCGTTCGTCCAACCATGTGCTGGTGTGCGGGGCACGGCAGTAGTTGCTTCGTCTGGCGTTGATTTCTGCATATCTTGGTTGGCATGTAGTGACTTGAGCGTGCTAATCTGGAATACTTTGCTGTAGTCTTGTCAGTTTTCGCACGAACGTTCCGGCGAACAGCATTGCAACCCGAGCGAATTCCTCCGAATTCATATGGGAGGAGGGGGACAGCTTCAGAATGACCAAGTTTGCAAGCCCTCCAAAATGTGCTACTCGCTGGCCTTGGCATGTGTCAAGCACTATGCATACACACATATTTTTCTCTCATGGGCGTAGTTACAAAGCGTTTGTCATGAACAGTCAACTAGAGAACGGCGAGGGGCCGGTACACACACAACATCATGAAGCAAAACGTGCTCGTAGTTTCACTGCTTGATGTTCGTCTGAGGGAGAAGCAGCCTTCGATTTAGCCATGCCCTACCACGTGTTTCATACCCCTCGAAGAATCACATCGCCGTGTTTATTGAGTGTTAGAGTGCCGAAAAACATTCCTATGAGCAGAAGCAAGGTACTGCGTTGGCACCAATCGGAGAATCACGAATCAATCCAGCCCGTTCGATCAAGAATAGACGGCATCATATTTTTCAGGACTACAGAGAAAAGCAGCACCTTCACCTACACAGCCGTTGTTCTGATGCCAACCCCGACCAGTTGAAGCAAGAAACGATGTACCACCTGCGCCGACACATACGAAACCCGGAGATGGGCGTGGAGAAGGGATGGAAGTTGGTGAAAGACGAACTAGGGGAAAACCTGGAATCGATTTTGGACGAGGCGCTGCTGTCCAAGTGCCCCGAAGATGGGCAGAACTTGCTCATGTACGCCGCTGCCCACGGGAACGAGGAGTGGTTTCTGCACCTGATCGACCACATCAGATCACAGGTGATTCTATGGGAAGCGTACATCTTGCACAGCCAAGGTACTTAATGCCCAATGCTGTACAGCATCTACCCGTCGGTTCACCGAAAAGCGTACTCTCGTGAGTCAGCAGGCGCCTGCGCTGCGCGCCCCTAGCGGGGATGAACCTCCCACGACAAAATCATGGTGGCCCATGTAGTAAAGCTGACGTATGCGTTTTGAATTGCATATTAGTGCACGGTGTGTAAACGAAAAATTGTGAGGACACTCATTTTTGTTCCACCGCGTAGTAGACCCTCTCTCAACTTTGTCGACAGCATGCACGACAGAGAATCTTGGTAGCAGATTATGAGCAACGACGTCGATCTTCCGACGCTCTGTGTTTGTAAAGCTGTGGGGAGCTATTGTGCAGCAAGGACTAACCCAGAATTCACCCAGCCATCTATTGTCTGCCTCCCGCGCTACGCTGTACTTCGATACACTCGCTGCACAATCCACCAAGCTGGGAATCCCTGCGCTCGTGACGGAACTACGGGAGATCGACATCGACGGTTGTCCTCTGCTCTTTCATGCGGCATCAAGCAACTGCAAGTATTCCTGCTTTCGAACGGCAAAATACATCATCTTGTCGGTGCTGGGCAAGGGCGAGCTTGTGCAGCAGTTCGAGCTCGTAGACGGACTCGGGAGGGGGATACTCATGCATGCCGCGAGGAGCAACCACGTTGACAACTTCAAAGAGGTCTTTAACAGGTGCAGAGAGGTAGCTGATCGCATGCGCCCCCACGACGAGCCCACGGTCGGCGGCCAGACAGAATCTCTCGACCCGCAACTACCAGCGACAGACACCGCGTCTGCGGACATTGGGCTTCTGCGAGAAGTATTGGGGAAGGCCGACCGTATAGGCAAGAACTGCCTTCACCATGCAGCGGAAGCGGGTTCCTATGCAGTACTGCACGAGGTGGTGAAACTTTGCTGTTCGGTGTACGAAGAGATGAACACGGCCGACATCATGGGGCGGACCCCGATCATGTACGTCCTTCGCAACGACAGCTGTCGGGGGCAAGAGCAACAGGGCTCAACACTAGCCCTGAAAGAGGAATCCCTCCGAAAGAAGTTCCACGAGCTCTACGAGGCTCTGCAGGATGCAACATGCCCTCAAGATACACCGGTCAAGACAGGATGGATGGAACCATCGCGTGTACCGCCTCCGTCCCTAGCCGTACCGAAAGGGACGCGCGTCGACACTCGGGCAGTAACGGAGTTGATGCACGCTGCACGAGGCGGCTTGGTGTCTTTGGAGCTAGCTCTGAACAAGCTCCCGCTTGCCTCCAGAAACATTGCTGAGGGTGGGTTCACGGTGGCGCTAGACAACGCGCTCGCGGTCAACATGACGATCGGTAACACTCAAGAGCAGTCTCACCGAACCAAAGCCTGGGGATGGGCTTTGCTGTTGGCAGCCGCCGCGAAGCTTGGCGATATTGATGTGCTGTATCATGTCCTACTGGCCATTAAGGTAAGTTTTAACATATTGGTAGGAAAGGCAGAACACATGCAACACTGAATGACTGAAGCAGTATACGACAAAGAAAGACGGATTGGCTCCTTGGGCCGTAACTTCACCGTCATAGGCTCGAAGCGTTTGGTGGTGGTCATGATGACACGGACCCTTCCCAAACCAATCAGCATCGTAACCCTTTGTTTTGGCGCGGAACCTCGCCCTAGAAAGGGCGGGAAAAGCTCACTTGGGCATCAAGCGTACAACACATTCGGGTAATTGTCAGTATCAACGGACAGGTTTCTAGTCTTGCAACCGATTGGATTGAGGCGTGATAGTAGTTCTTCGAAGACGAACAAGAGAAGCAACGCAGGGTGCTTGGGTTGTAAATCTTGGTTGTTATCGGTGTTTGGTGAGACAATTGGCTTAAACCTGTTATAGCAGGACATGTGAATCAAACCGCGACGGACTATTTATTATTGCATTATGAGAAGATTGAGACACTGTCGACCGTCTTGCTTTCTGTGCCCACTTTGTTGTTACAGAAAGGGAAATTCACCCTTGTCAAACACGGCGAAAATGACCACGATTTCCGGCTCGCCAAAGTGGAGAGACCCGCGGGTGGCGGGTGGGTGGAACTCCCGCGGGGCGACAGAGTGCAGGAAGCTGTACGGGCGATCAACACCCGCGGAAAGTCCGTCTTCTCATACGCGATCTTGTCTGGACGGACAGATGCTATGGAGCTGGTGTACGATCTCGTGAGAGGACTCTTCGGAGACAAAACCAGTCAGGTACATGGTTTGCTCCTTGTATTGTTTTCGTCGAACTCGGCGTCAGCCTGGATGTGAATGGCCAAAAAGCGAAATTCACGTCCCATATCCGGCATCAGCTCACTAGAGCATGACTAACTCGATTGAGAACGTACCGACCGGGCGAAGAAACCCACGAGTTGAGGTATGCACCACTTTCCTACGTGTCATGAGTCCACGAGGGGAGATTAAACACGGTTCTCATGTTTCGCTCAATGCCCACGCTCCGCCAAGAAACTCGTTGAGGAACACTTCAAAGAAGTAACGCACCCTTGTGCAACAACCATCGCGACTATTCCGTCTCCCCCTCAAAAGCTCTTGCTAAAGAAACACGTCATCGGTTCCCATTCATGCATTCAGCGGACCAACCAAACCCTTCTGACTCTTTCCCGCCGCCGAACGCCACCCCTTCACTCCCTTGGCAACCCATTTCAGACCTGGGATACTCTCAGCGGGAAAACAAACAAGAGCAGCTCGCTCACTTGTGCGGCGTCGGCGTCGATGGAGGCGGACAACCACGGGATTACCATGTTCGACAAAGTGTTCTCCCTGCTGCAGCAGGTGGTGTCGCTGGTCGTTGACATCCTTCACGTAGAACACGACAGGGGATGTTTCCCATGCTGCTATCGGGCCGTTTCCCATCAGCTAGTTACCCAAGTCGTTTGGACATCGTGCATTCGGCGCTTGACACGCCACAAGGGATAAATCCGAAAATACATACGATCGACACAGGTGCGCTTGCGGTTGTTTAGAAATCGGGCGAACAGTATGCGTTCAATGTTGCTCTGCTGTTGGGGAGGTCTCCCTTGCTGTTCAAATTAATCGATCAGAGTTGTGTGCGAAGCTCTTCTTGGGGCCATGAACGGAGGGCGACAAGATTTGTTCGGACTAAAGGAGATGTTTCCGGCTGCATGTCGAGCGGGGAGAACCCAACCAAGAAGTACGTTGGGAAAAAACATGCTGAGCTGCGCTCGCCCCCTGTCGCGCCGCATTGCAATCGTGAACGCACGCGTACCTGAACAGCAAACGGACGACCGTCTACTGGTTCAGAGACAACTATCGCCGAGGTTTGCAATGCCCCACCGAGGCAAGGGGAAGGTGAAGATTTCGCCTCTGGTGGGAGCCGCCTTCAGCAGCAACTGGATCCTCTTTCGGAAGGTGTACGACACCTACGAGGAGTGGACTGGTCACCGCTGGTGGCGCCAGCAGGTGAAAGCTCCGAGGTCTTTAGCTTGGACGGTCCGCATTCTTTCAAAACACCCCAATTCTTGTTCTTGAAAATTTCTCCAGCAAATCATATTCTGTGCTCGATATCGTGAGTGGTAATGCGAAGGTAGATATATCGTGGAGCGCACACGTGGGTGGGGCGCAGAGAAATGGGTTTGGGGTTCCAAAGCTAGGCTCGAAAGTCGCAACCATCCGCAGATGTTGAAAACACCTGTTGCAACAGTCGCGCTCGTTGTCTGTAGCAATCACATGCATTCCAAAGCTGAACCCCCGAGGTTTCGTAACATGAACACACCGCGCAGGGGCTGATGTAGAAGATAAGTTTTTGAAACGTTAGGTAGGGCTTGTACCCGTATCATATGAGTAGAGTGCTAACTACATATGCCGTTCGTCAATGCCTTCCCTCTCTCTCTCAGGTCCTAGCGCAGATCCCGTCGGGCCCACCCCGTCGACGATCCGTGTTGGAGCTTCAGGAAATGCACGATTGTGAGGATGATATTCCGGCACTCATCATTCGCGGGGCGTGGAGCATTCCTGCCGTCATGTGGCGTGACATCGTCAAGGTACACCAGCACATTTGGAGTACAGAGCTACTCATCTTGGTTGGGTTTGGTACGCAGCAGAGGGCTGCCGTCACACGGCGTGGTGAATCACATCCTCCCACCGAAACAGGCACAACGAGAAATCTCGATATTCTCAAATAAGAACAGGGTGTGTGCCTGAGAACAGTATTGTTTGACATTGGCAAGGGCTTCCCCCCTCAATTCTATGCTTTTATATAGCAGAAGTCCTTACGACGTGCACATCTTGATATCTTTTTATTTTAGCTTTTTTGCCGAATTTTTTCTTTTTGTATGGTTGTTCACCCTTAATCATCCAATACAACTTTTTGGTGGATGAACGTACACACTTGCTGAGACAATCACCCTTACAGCATAAAGCGCATGCTTCCGTCGCGCTTATCGGCGAGATGGCGGTGGGGCACGTCCACAAAGACGCAAAAAACTTCACGTTTGTTTATTTCTAACTCTCTCCCTTGTCCCTGATGTGTGAATCATGCCTGTATGACCTCATACTACCAAGACGCTAGATACTAGTGGCAGGGGCGGGCGGCCGCCTACCCTAATAGTAACCTACCATCATAATCTTGGTCGCGAAGACAAGATCGCTTCAGACGGGGGAGGTACAGACGGGCCCGCAGTTAAGAAATACTTGCTGTTAAGAGACAGAGGCTCACATTTTCACGTAGAAGGAGTGAGAGATTTGGGGTAAGAAACACACCTCAGCGGTGGATCCTATACCACTCTCTATACTCCAACGTGAAGCAACCTGTGCTCGACATTGGCGACGAAATAAAAAGCTGAGCCTCGACCTGACTTCGACGTTTCTCATCGCCGGGCCCGTACTATATACGGCAACCGTGACGAAGTACCTGTGGGAGGGAGGCGTCCATCCGAGAACAATTGCATAGGAAAGACTTTCACGGTGTCGACACCTAGAATGTACCGCTTGATGACCTTGATTGGTCATACGTTGGAACATACAAGATTAATACATCGACGTCCGGGACTAGTGGGATGCCTCTCACAACAACATGAGCCTTGTTTTCGCCCTGAGTCAATTTTGCTACAGTATCGTATGGTCGGATGGCCAACAAACAATCATGTGGAAGCATCTACCGCTCTCTCCAAATGACCCAGTACGTGCAGTCTTGGCGGATGCACGGTGTTGGATCCACATCCACAAGTACATCTGTCTGAGAGATCCTAACTCTCGTCAGACGTTCTGTATGTTATCCGGTTTGCTCATCGTCCCTTCGAAACACTCCCGTCGACGTGCAGGCGTACCAACGAGCACAGCTCTGCAGCCCTGACGCGACGTCCAGAGGCGTTCCTCAGCCTCTTCGGATAAACCCTTTGCCGTCTTGGAGAGACGAGTTCAAGGGCTATTCCAGGAGGGCAGTTAAGGAGGCAGCCAAGCGCGGTACCTTCAGGAGCCTCAGGTCAAGCCGAATGGGTCATGTATCGTGTTGTACATTTGCAGGATAGGATTCAAAATTGGTGCAAATTTTGGAAAGACATCTGGGAAGCGTGTACCTCTTCATCTACCAAATGCGACCATCAGAACCCGGGGAGGAACATCCTAGGCGAGGTTCTTCTGCCTCCGCAGGGAGCCTCTCGCCCAATGCAATACTTTCATCAACTACCAATGGGGATACGAGAAACGCAATCGCGTTAGAGGAGACCAACCACGTAGACAGAAGTTCACAACGCAAAGAAGGGCGGCATAAATACATCGTCGTGAGCTTTCTTTGGGCGTACCGGTGAAGTCGGCTTCTGATATCGGAGAAGCAATTCAACTGTGAAAGTCTGCTTACCATGTGTGCAATGACTAGCTTTTACGCGGTATAGCTGGCGTGGATCATTGCTAATACCCGGTGTGTAGTCGGTGTTTAGCTGAACAACCCATGACCAACAACACCACCCGTCGGTTCTGAGATTCAGCAATGACCTGCAGTACTTCAGTGGTTCTCTACTGATCAAATCTTGAAGCAATGTTGTAGGCTTGGGTCTAAGTTTTGTTTGCGGTTGGCTTCATTACCCGCTAGAACAGTCCATAACGCATAGGGGCCAGAGCAGATAGTGGCGTGAAGGAAGTCACAGCAACAACAACAACAACAACAACAATCACGGCGACTACCTCGCGGCCTGGGATGATATCAGGGACTTGGTTCAGGAAGGATTCCCGCTCCATGAGCACCACATCCCTGCCCTTCTGGAGAATATCGGAGATCACGAAAAGGACATTATCGAGACGATTCTTGCTACGGTCACTAACGCCAGGTGAGACGCGGCAAAAATTTACACAAACCAACCGAACGCCATATGCTAGCATGAGTAATGTAAGGCTCGGGATGTTTCTGGTCTCTGGCATACTGTGCTTGCTTCATGTATGGACTCGAGACTCTTAGTCGTTTGTGCCAACGTGTCTGTCTCACAACGACGTAGCGGACTCGTTAGAACGGCTAGAAATTCGGACTCCTCGCGTTATCGCGACCAACTCACACAGGCACCGGCAGGCCCTAGTTGCTAGACCCCAAATCAACCACACGACACAGTGGGATACGGACGAGTGAAATCGACATATAACAATCATAGGATGGGTTCTTGCGGGATGTACGTGCTGCATGGACTTAGACTATACCTGAAGAATGTAGTTTCTCCGGATTGAGGACATCGTTTTCACAGCCAATATCTCGCAAGAAGAGAAGGGCCCCTCAGCTCAATCGAGTACTACAGCCGGTGCGCAGCCACCCATATTTTCTTGCACACTGTGCCTTTGCCTAGAAATCGAGCCAGAAGTTGGGAGCAGCTACCATGTCACTCACATGCCAACGCTACACCCCGTTCTACAAACTAGAAGCTTGAATGCCAAACTTGGTTGACTTTAGAATTGACCTCATCGAACACCACCCCACAGCAACCCCTTCGCGATGGGAGCTGGACTGTCGAGGACCCTGAGGACAAGCGAAGTTGACCACCCGATGCACCAACTGGGCCTCCGCCGTCTCCAAAGCATCATCGACGACTTTACCATGGAGGCATGTTTGGTTGTTGAATACCTCCATCCCTGGTTTTGGTTAACACCGAGAAGCTGAAACTCCCTCGATGGCACAACGGCACGTTTCCCTGACATGGTGCTGGTCATCAAGGCACCGAATCGTCACAGGTCTATCGTCGGGTTGAACGATATTCATTCACCGATGAGCCCCATCGATGCTTATCCCGGAGTACTGCTCTAGCGTTTCTCATGCGCGAGCTTACCAACGGTGGGCGCGACCAGTACGTTCTCGTATGTTGTTGCCTTCTCGGTCGTACAATTTCACAACAGCATACTAGAGACGGTGACCAGTAGGCACGAGGGTGCAAAAAGGCGATTCCATCGAACCATCCCGCCTTGTACAAAACGCAAAACGCACCCCGTGGCATCTCGGTTTCCCAACGAACAGCTCTTGGACAAGCTCCCACGCACGGTCCGAGGCATGGGAATGGAGCTAATCGGCGGCCATCAGCCGATCACCTTCGGCGAGGGGTTCCACCAAGGGAAGCATCACAGGCTCGGCAACCTCGCAGGCTTCATCGCCGTGGTACGTCCATTTGTTTTCGATATGTTGGCGTTGAACTCTCGCCAACACCTTCACTACTTGGCAGTCACAGCCTAATGGCACTGAGAAAACGTGTACGCATAGAAACGTGGTTTCGAAAGGCATCCCATCCAAGAATATCCTTGTCTGTGGCTATTGTAGAAGCTCTTAGCCACACGAAGCTAGATATTTGTGCACAATTGGTAGACACAGAGGCCCCGCCGGGACAAGAAAGAAAACAACAATAACGAGACCGGGCCCTCCCTTTCCGCTAGAGGTCAGCCTCTTGAATGAGCCAATTGGCACTCAAGTCTAAGCGTTGTCGGAAAGTCAGTTTGTAGCGACAAATACAGGTAGAGTGGCTAACAAACGGATTTCGTCTAACTCCAGGTGCGAACACGAGCATTGCATGTCGTAGGCCGTCACGCCTGTGATGTTGGGGCACTTGCTGGCGGTAGTGTAACGAATGGCCAATCGCTACGTCGCCCATCAGTTCGAGTGTGTGAACCGATACGTCATCAAGGGGTGCATCGTCGTGACCAAAACCATCGTGCCAGAAAGGCTGGTGACCGAGAATCTTGGTTCATGGCCGTACAATGGGGTGTCGTATGCGCGCAATGCATCATGTGCAAAGTAGTCGCTTGCTCTCTGGCTCGGCTCTGCAGGACGTGGACCCTTACGGCACCAACGCTTCCCAGTTCCCGCCTTTTGGTCATAGCCATCTCTGGTCTCCAGTTTTGGAAGGAAACAGGAAGACATCCCCATTTGTCGCACCGGTACAACCGTTTCCCCTTTTCACCCACTAACGCCTAAGGGCAGCAATTCCAGATATTGTGTGTCTGTGGAAAGCTGACGCGCCTCGAGCCGAGAGAAACTGTGAGCGGGTCCTTGAGTTTATTCCCGAACAACCCGCCCTGTCATTATTTCAAGTAGGCTCGACTTCACCCTTATTCCAGTATTTCAGCCAATCGCGAGCATCGCAACTGTCGCCTCTTCTCCGGTTTCGTGTGTCTTGTGCGGTTCGGCAGCAATGGTTCCTCGAGCCGCGTGTCCTGCTTGGAGACGTTGCCGTCGAGAACCGGTGAGCAGGGCTTGTGACGTAGGCCTGGATCAATCGTATATTTCAATCAGACAGAAGGTCTCAGCCGTCGGATTTGTGAATGTGTGGTGTTGGCAGGTCCATTACGGTCTCATGATGCAACAGTCACGAACCACACCGGAAACGGCGAGGTTGAACGCAACCGCCATGAAGCGTGGACGAGCGTGTCAACCGCCATCGAAATTCCCAGCTGTGAAGTACCCGGATGGAGCAAATTAGCCCAGTGCCTACGTCGCCCACGAGTATTTGTGGTGATGATGCGTTTCTTTCCCCACCGTTGTGTAGCACGCGTCGAGGCGGGCCGCGCAGGATGCTCACATTTCCCCCGGAAACGCATCGCTCTGGGCGCAGGTACAAGGAACCAGACTACATCGACCCTCTACGCCGGGCCTTGGACCGAGGCTCCAAAGGCCTGGATATGGCCAACTCTCCGCTAGCGCGAGACTACGTGCACGTCAAATTCACCGGGACACTCCCTCACTGGACATCGCGGAACCCGTTCCAGCCGACTGTCAACGAAGGTTCAAGTTCGTTAGAACCCACGTAGATTCACGTGTTTTGCACCCGACGAAAGGTGGACTATGATCGTTTGCCTTGCGCTACCACAGACTAGTTCAACAGCAGATAATACACGATAGCTCCCTTCCCCAGATGAATTGGCCTCCCCAAACCCATAGTTTCAAGAACATTTCCAAAATTCCAGCTGCCTCCATTGCGAAAGCCGCCCACCAGGAGGAAAAACGTCTACCAAAGAGGTTCATTTACATCGGTTCAAGCGGTTGAAAGCACCTTGTATTCCGGATTGTGTACATATCTCACGTGAACTATTCGTTAGTACCATAGTGCTGCTTCCTGGGTGGGTTTGAGCGGCTATTCCGTGTGAAAATCGCTACAACCTACATTGCTACTGCATCTTCACGTTGTTTTGATTCGGGTGGGTGTTCGGACTGGTCAGCTTCGATCCGACTAGTGCCGTTATTGTCGCATGGTCCACATTTGCGGTCTGTATGCTCTGAAACCTTCCACATGAACCGACATCAGCTGCTTATTCTTGTCGCAATATGCCTGTTCGTGCTCATCACAACCGTTCTCACAAGGCCTCTACAAGTACGACGACTTCGAGACATACAAGCTGTCGGAGATCCTCTCGACTCCAGTCAAGCCGCCAACTGCAAATCAGGAAGGCGAACAATCCCCCGCCCAAAAGGAAGGATTCATCTCCATGACCTTCCTTTTGAGGTTAGTGCGATATCCCCCCTGCTTCTGGCGTAGGCTGGTGGTGGTCTATCACCCACACGGGTTTGAAAACCGAAAATAGCACAACAAACGTGCGACAATTGCATACCTCAGCAACAGAATTCGGCGAGTAAAAACACAACTCCAATGTCAGGAACTAACACACAGAGATCGACGAGCTGGAAACGAGGATTTCACGCCGTGGCCGGTTGCTCGAGGCTAGATTGATTACCACGGCCAGATTGCCTACTTGGAAAAGGAAGCACCATTGCATAAACTTACGGGTAGGCCTTTTCCGATGCGAACCGTTCGTATTTTCATACGTACGTTTATATTTTGAAACTGACGTACTCTTGTCTCTCACTAGACGAAAACGGTTGTCGATCGTCATGGGGTCGAAGTCCATTGTTGGCGTTGCTGTTGAATCAATGCGCAAGAACGCCAGAGAAAATATTGGTCAAACAGCTTTGCCTCAGGTGGCGGGTCACTTGATAGATTCTGCAAAACATCCGTGTTTGTTGCGTTCCCTCTGCGCATTTTGCTCGCTGTTCAGACTCCTCCAGGGTTGGGATCACAGAGACCCAAAGCGCAGGTGCAATTTTCCGTCGAGGGTGTTTCGGGCGAAGGGCCAGGAGGCCTCGGGAGCACAGGCTCCTCAAGCACCGGCTCCTCCAGCGCCTGTTCCTCCGGTACAGCCCGTGTCGGCAGCAGCTAACGCTCAGGCACCGGCCAGTCGGCCGGAGCCACCCAACCAGTGGAGAATTCCACACAGCACAATGCTTCCCGGGCTGCAGTTCTCGTTGGCGGGCATCCAAGGAAAGCCAGAAACGTTCTACAAGGTCCCGGTCATTCGCTTCGCCTTCGAGATTTTCAGCTATCTGTGAGTCGCGATTCCGTCGTATCCCGCGTCGGGACTGGAGAGCATAGGTCGAACAATACGTATGCTGGGGAGAAACGCATGCTATTCGAAGCAACGTTGAGCGTGACTGTTCAAAATTGCAAGACAGGTCGAAACTACGTGAAAATATCTTTCGCAAGACCGCAGAACTGTACTGAGTGGACGTGTGGCGAAGAGTTGCTTTGCTTTCATCGTCGGCGAATCTGCTCATTAATTAATCATGGCTGAAAACCACGCCCGTTGCAAATGCGCTGCTTGCGACATGCAGGGTGATGCTGGTGCTGTTTTGCTTCTCTGTTCTGCTGAAGGAGCACGACTCCATTCCATGGGGCGAAGTCACCTTCTACGTCTTCGCCGCGGTGAGAAACGGCGTCAATCTCGGTACGGCAGTACCATACGAATACGAGTTGGTTGAGGACAGATTCCTCGTTGCATGTACGACGTCTTACCAACGCACGGGTTGACCTCGACGGTGTCGAAACTGGAACCTTCGCGAACCGTGGCATTCTGTGGCTCCCTGGGAAGACGAATCAGTAGTTGAGAAGAAGTAGTTCCTTTCTCACCAGCTCTGAGTAATTTCGACAGAACCTCATGCTGCATGGGCGTGGCTTCCACAGGGCCTCCTGTGGCGGGAAATACTGGAGTTTCGGGACGGTATGCCGGCTCGCAGGCACAAGCCTCCGAAGCGGCAGGTTTCGAAGAACGACGGCAGCACGAGGACGGGTTCAGAGCAACCCCTCTCATTCCCTCGCATCAGCCGTCTTGGGACTGGAAATCGGTTCAATCGGATGGTGTCAGCGTTTACGAGGTAATGTGCTGCTGAGCAGTTCGGGTTTGAACGCTGGTGTGGGCATGTAAAGCTTCTGGCTATGTACTCCGGAGCCCCAGATCCCGTAGCCGTGCCAAACGATCCACGAACCCCCCGGCGCATGGTCGGCACCCCGAAGATATATGAGGTCGAACCCGTCGATATCTGGGCGAATGCACTTGCGTGATATCGCCTCGTTGTAGACACGGTTCGTCCACCGTCTAAGTGCCAGGAGGAACTAAATGCATGCAGAACCTCGGTGAAATGTGTAGCGGTGTTGGAATGATTCTACGTTTGTAAAGTGCCCTTTTTCTTGGAAAAAATAATTTGTTGATTCGCGCACAGCACATCCATCTCTCTTCTGTAGTGTGAGTGGTCCATGCACCATGTGGGTTGGTTGGTGCCGCACTTGACCAGCTCCTCCGGATCTTCCTTCGGTTGTGTGTTGACCCCCGAAATAGGTATGTCTTTTACGACACCTGGAATTTCTTGGACACGTCGACCATCGGCTGCATCCTGGTCGCCTTCATATTTCGGATGATAGCTCTCGACGACAAGTTCTTCCTCTTCCACGCACAGTTCTTCTACGCCCTCAGCGCACCTCTGCTGTTCTCGAGGCTGCTCGTTCTCTCGCAGATCGACGCCACTTTAGGACCGATGACGCAGGTGGCAAACAATAGTTTCCTGAACTTCGAGGAAGTGGATTCAAACTCTCTTGGTTTTCCGTGGAGTTCGCTGCGGTGGAACCCGGCAATGTATGTCCCCCACAACAGCATGCATCGTCGGGTGTTGTGGTTGAATAGGTTGCTGCACGACATATCTCGATCGCTTCGCCTGAGGCCAATTCTGTTGCACAGGCGTCCTTGGAACCCGGTTTAACGTTACTGCAGAAACCGGTCGCCCCGGCGGTCTATATGACAACTATGTTGCAGCTCTGCCTCCGTACCTTGTGCTGCGTATTCATGAGGGAAGGATGGCTGCAATGCGCGAAGGGACTCCCTTGTTTCGTCTCGGATCCGACCTCTTCAGATACAGACAGGGGGTAGCGCAGTCAGAAATCGCAAGCGACATTGGATGACGACTGGAACCAAATGAAGTGCAGCATTGCTCCGAACGGATAACAGGGAGCGCGCGCAGTTTCTACCGAGTGATATATGGCGTTGTTCCAATCAATGGAAAACTCCTACCAGGGTTCACGCGGAAGAATTCCGTCACTCGCTTTTAGGGTTGACTCAAACTTTTTCTGTACTCCCGCGGGACTTGTAGCTGTAGAGCAGTCCGAGAGTAAAGATTTCCTGCCACACGAACCGAATCCCATTGCGTGGTTTGTGCCTGCTTCATAATCTTCGTAACCCATAATGAAAAGCTGCATTGCGACAAGCCCTGCGCTGATCCCCCCCCCCATCCCGTTCCCCTGAAAGGTGATATGGAGAATGATGTCCCACACTCTGCGCTTTTCGGCGTTCATTGCGATGGTCATGCTGAGCTTCGCCCTGGCGTTCCATGCGGTGTTTCATACTTGCGGGGAGTACAGCGAGCCTCAGTGCACCCTCGATGATGATGATGCGTTCCCCCTTCGCGACGCCTTCGGGACGTTCGGAGATTCGTTCGTGACGGTGTTCACGTATGCTCTTGGCGGGCCGGACTTTGAGGCCTTCCAGCTGGCTGGCAGCGACTGCAGATGCGACCTGCCCGAGGGCGCGCGAAATGCAGGCATTTTCTTGTTGGTGGTAAGCGATGGATATGTTCGTGGGTCTGCGAACATTGGTGTTGGAAACATGTGCTGTATGATTTGGTGTCACGCAGATTGGTAAGATTGCCGTTTGGTAGGGGGCACCGTGATGAGTCACGGGGCCCCTCCTTGCTGTTGGAGCGTTGGAGCTGCTCTGTGTGGAGCACTCCCTCTTTCGTCCGTGTGAAGGACGGTCGCCTACCTCTCGTGAAGTTAATACATCACCGAAACAGTCTCACTCGATAAATCAGTGGCGTAGGCCGCAAACACTCAAACAGGATATGCTGGTTTTCTGGCCCGCTTCTTTCGTCGCCCAGGTATACTGTAACATTCGTTGTACGACGAATAACGGTACCCGTTGCGAAGATAAGCGTTGCTCGTTGGCGTTTTGGTTGTGTTCTGTCATCTTCTCCTGTCCTCCGCCTTGTTGGCGGGTTTCCAACACCACTAGCACTACTTCCAAGCGCATTGAAATAACACTCAAGATCTGTATCTTCGCCTTTGGCAGTTCCGGGGAGCGTTTAATGCACGATGATTTGAGATCGAGTCTGAACCAGTTCAAATCGTCAGCCGATACCCCTCCCGTTTGCAACAACGCAGGTCTACATGATCACCATGACCGTGGTTTTGCTGAACCTTCTCATCGCCGTGCTCAGCACCACCCACGGTAAAGTGTACGCCAACGCCGAAAAAGAGTTCCACCACGCGCGGGCGCGCTTAATCTACCAGAGCGCGCGTGTTGTCTCGCGCTCTCGACCCCCGCCACCACTCAACTTGATTAAGCTCGTCTGCGGCATTCTGTTGGATGCTGGGACCGAGGTGTGGAGGGTTGGCGTGTGGGTTACACGGTGAGTTTGAGTCTTCTGCCGAAAAGCACCTTCAAAGTGTGTACATGTATCGATGTTCTCTTGTGTTACTACTTTTAATGCTTATACCGTCTTCTGCAATTGTGCGCTTATCCAACACGCTCTACGCCAGTTAGTATGCATGCTTTCGCGACATTGATGTGTTTTTGTCAACCCGGTCGATCAACTGAAGCAGTCGGAGGTTGACGCGGAATTCAGCATTGACACCTTGCGACAACAGATCGGACTGAGATGACTCTGACGTGTTTTTCTCGCTTTGTACGGAGATCAGAGAGATCTCACGGGGTGCGTCCTTTCTGATTCCTAGGTCCGACGCACTCATCGAACAGTGGTCCAAGAGTCGTTGTCAGTCACAAGTCAAACTGTGCCCGCCTCAACACAGCCCGCCATAACACACAAGTGAGCATGCCGCAAATAGTCAGCGTGGTATGCTATCGTGCTCGCAACGGTTTGGGGAAGACATCACCCGAAGAGATCTGGAAGCACGAGGAGTATCAAGCAGGCGTTCAAAGCACACATCACCTTCACAAATTCACATTTTGCCGTTATAGCCGAGAATGCGAGCTTCTTCTCAAGTGTGGTCCATAGCACAACATCGGGTATTGCATAGGCCCATTACCAACAAAACGAAGGTAACCGCTTGTCTACCTCTCCTCCCCCCTCATCTTCGTCCTCCGGCCCGGCCAAGACCTCAGTATCACCTTGCTGTCGATTGCCATCAACTCAACGGCCGCCGTGTTGTTTTTCAGCATGACACGGATTGGAGAGCTGGCACGGCGGTGCTTACAACCAGTACATGCTTCAGTTTCACTCCCGAACGGGGATCAGAGAATGGAACGGGTTGGACGCTTGCATGGGGATGCGATGAATTGGCAAGAACGAAGCGATTTCGAAATCATCGGACGGGGGTCATGCTCCGATTTTCACGGCTGACTTCACCCGTCCCCGAAATATGAACGCTGTCCTTGTTCACCCATGTGTAAGGCGCTTCGACCCCCTCTGTTTTTATCCCGCATCCAAGTACGAACCAAACTCGACCATGCTCTGTGATGACCGACATGTCTCATCCTGGTCTACTGCCTCACTCGTTCCATCCGAAACTCTGTCGGAGAACAACAGCGGACGCTCCCAAGCCAGGATGCTGAAACCGTTCTCAACAACGCACCAGTGGAAAACCCTTGAAGGTGGTCTGCAGAGGTTGGAGTTCGCCTTCACATTTGGCGTTGCTGCTGTTGGGTTGTCTACGATCCTGTGGATAGTGTCGGTGCCGTGGGTCGCCTGGTGCCTCCATCGTTTAGTCCATAAAGCGGTGAGTAGACTTCGTGTTGAAAAGGGATTATTTCAGAGCACACGGCAAGGTCGTTGGTGTCAGCGATATGTGCAAGAAGTTGCCTGAGCCTGTAGCGTTTCGCGGCAAGGTATTCCGTAGCAACACTTTTGTCAAACGTCTACTTATATCAGTTTTCAAATAGTCCACCTCGAAGGCGGAGCACATTCCGTCTAACAAGAAGAACAACAATCGCAGTTTTGTAGTGGCGAACCTCGAAAATAGGCCAACCGATTGCTAAGACGTCGCCAACTGTAGCCGTCGTGGCGAGTTTGTTCTCTCTGTGTGCTGTACACGTGGGCCTCACACTCCGCACCACACGCTCATCTGCTGATCTAAGGAAATACTACAGTTGCCCCAATCATCGTCGAAGCCTCACGCGTGCTCACCTTCTCCTGAGTGACGAAACCAATGCCGGGTACCTGATACGAATGTGTGCCACGTCTCACGCCTGGAAGCATGCCTCGGAGATCGCTTGTTTCCTCGCGACCTCGCCTCGTATTGAAAATCAAGAATACATGTTTTCGACGAACATCCTCTTACTTAGCAATCAAAGTATGTGCCGTTCTGTTCAACCGCGTGTCCGCGTGTGTGGGGTATATCTCTATGGTATTTGTGAGAGAAGGAAGAGGAAACGGAAGCGGAAGCAGAAGCGAACGAGCCGGATGACGACGGTAGCAGCACCAGCGAGCGTGACGATGGCGACGACCACGACGACGATGGCGATGACGTCGACGATGACAAGGAGAAGCCGCATCTTGGCTACTTCAGACGATTCTTGTCGGGAATCAAATCTATGTGCTCTCTGTTGGTCGCGATGGTAGCAGCCTCCTTTCTGTGCCTTCTGTATATTTTCGCAACCATGATTTTGTGGGCCGTTGGTATCTGGATGGTCGTCACCTGGGTTTACAGCAACTGGGACAAGAAAAATGGAGACATGCCCGAACCTATGCCCGGGCAAGAGGATGGGCATCACTGGAAAAGGGCTTGGGAGCTTGCCAGCCTGCGGAATCAAGGGGCCCGCGCGAATCGCGGCCAAGCCCACTTCCACATCGCTCCGCTTTTGAAGAGCAAGACGGGTTTGGACATGCAGCACTTGGCGCAGCTCACCAAGAACCGGCACGATGAGTCCAACTCCGAGGCCAAGCTCATCGAAGTCGACCAAAAGTTACCATACTTCGCTATCGACCTAGGACACCTCCAGAAATTGGCCAAAGAGAAGACCGAAAAGAAACGAACGAGTGACCCAGCCACCACGATGACAAGGGACAATCGTGTTGTTGGTGGGGCGCCGACCAGAGGAGAAGGTGGCAGTCCAGGATACTCCGATGTGAAGGCGGTTGGTTCTGGCAGCGGGGGAGCCGAAGGCGGTATCGGCGATGACGCTTCTAACACTGGTTCAGGTGGCATCAAAGGTGGCGGTGATGACGGTGACGGTGGCGCGACCGGGGAAACCCCCTCCTCTACTGCTCCTGCTCCTGCTTCAGCAGCCAATGCTGCTCCTTCTTCATGAACGCACGGGAGTGTAACAAGTGGACACGTTCTGTAGCTATTTTTGACGAGTTTAGTCTGAGCGTTACGCGGGCTATGGCGTAGACTACACGACTAGTCAATATCCATACTAATAATGGCATGTTCTCGTTCCAGGCATGTTTTCGTTCCAAACATGTGCATGTAACGTGCGATGTTTCAACTTGGGACTGGTTGTACCAAACCTATACAACAACCGGCGACATTGCTTGACCGGTTTTCTTGTTGGTAGTTGACACGACGAACGCTATGTATGGTGAAGATGGAACATGCCTTTCAAGACACCTCCAGGCTTGCGCGGTGGGGGCGCACATGCATGAGTACCGCAGAGAGACGAGCTTGGGTGGTTTCTTTTGCTCAGGATGAACAGAGGGACACCGATGACGACGGCAACGGCTGTGGCAAACAATATAGCTGGCTTGATTTGGGTTTTTGGCAAAGGTGAAAAGCGTAGCATTACCGCACATGGCCTGAGGCAAAAGCATTTTATAGTATTTGTCTCTTCGCTGTGCCAGTTGGTGCCAGCGGCCTGGTTAGTCAGGAGGAAACAACGTGAGTAGGATACGCGAAAACAAGGTATGTATATAAAACGTGAGTTACGACGGATTGATAAGAATTAAGGGGCGTCGTTCGTGTCTCCGAGCGTCTGTCGACTGCAAGAACATGATGCTGGGCATATCGCACCATTCTCAGTCATGTCCCCATCTCTTGTACTATCTGAGGGAAGGCCTTCGCCTTATAGAAAAACTATTGCCGACCCCATTATTACCGTGGAACGTGCGTGTGTGCGTGTGTAACTATTTCATTATAACTTGCAAAAATAGCATGGACCGAGCCAACCGGCTGACCAATCGAAAGACGTCAGCCGGGGTGCCACACTCACGTTTCGTCTTGATTGGGTTGACAACAATTGATCGCCATGATCTGGGTCCGCCAGCTTCAACCTGCATACTCGCCAGCACGGGGGGCGGGACCGCGCAGGCGGGACCGGCAATAACGAGAGAAAATTCAACGAGCAAACGGAGGAGGAAGAAGTCCCTATGTACAATATCTAGACTAAAATACGCGTCCTTCTCGGGTTCCCGATAGTTCACCCACTTCGGGCGTAGGATAGTGTGCACTCGCAAGTGGCTCCGGGCTGCTCAGGGAGCTAGCTGACTGTTTGTCTCGTGTATGAGGCAGTTCCAAAATTGTACCTACTACTACAAAATGATGCTGTCAATGCGATGTATGTTGCATCAAGTTGCATATCATGGGTATTTAATTTTTTCTTTTTTTGTCTTCACTTCACATCAGCGCTCGCAGCCTCACAGCATTAGTGCTGCTTACTCCAACCCGTGGTCACACAGAAGAGCCCCCCTCTCTACTCTCTTCCACACGAACTAGCGCTATCCACTAGGCCAGGAGCGGAAGCGAGAAAAAAACTCACTCTGCGAGAAAAGCTCGCTTACGCCGGCATTCGAACCCCTGACCTGACCTCTAGAAGGTTTCGAGGTTATCATCTAGATCACCGGGGCGACCGGATATATATATATAGGTATATCATCATCGGGTCGCCACTGTATGTATTTCATTTCGCGGTACACTCGGAGGAATGAGTCATGTTCCTGACAACGTATGTATGAATGTATGCATACGTACTCGGTATTGAATACACAACCAACAAGCAATACAAGATATCCTCCAACGCTTGTTTTTTTGTCCTTAGCGCTCTCCATCACCAAAAGTGAATGTAGGCATATCTGTTACATATACACTCACTGAAAAGACTCCACCACATCCCGTTCGACTGTGGGCATATCTCGAATGGGTAGTCTTTCTGTGTGTGTTCTTATTATTCCTTAAATATTTGGTGCAACACGAAAAACACACACTCTACATCTATCTACCACAGTGTACAGCAGTACAGCATATAATATCTCATCTTCGGGGAACAATGAGAAGGGCTACTTACTACAGCTGATGTTCCCGGCAAAACCCCATCAGTACATTCCGGCACACGCTACATCTCGGCGCGCTGCCGTCTCTGTCCTCTGCTCTTCTCGTCCCCGGCTGTTTGATCTTGGGGTTTTGCTGTCCGCGGTTTTTCCGCACGCAGTTCGTTCAACCGGAGGCACTTTTTTATTTTTCCGACATGCTGCTTCTTGCTGTGTGTCATAATTCGTCGGTTTAAAAGATGTAACTTGGTTGAAAGTTCAAGAAGTTCGATACTGCTGCTGCACATTGGCTTCTTTTCTGTTGAATCCTACTGCTGTGAGACTTTATTACAACACTCGTCCTTCGGGGATATGGAAGGCTCGCTCCCACTCTGAACGATTTGGGCTACCGGAAGCAGATCAACCGCCTTCACGCATTCCGCACTAACCTCCAACGTCCTATTAGTGTGGTTCTTGAGCACCAGCTCTCCGCCGGGCTTCTATTTCCTCCGCACAGCGGGGAAAGGACCACAGCGGGCAACGCGCCGCCTCGAGAGCCTTGTCGACCTCTCCTCGGATCGTCTGGTGCGACTGTGTGGTACGGAGCAAGGTGAGCGTAGTGGCATATTCTTATCCTGCATCACATCACACAGCACTCAGAGAGAGAGAGAGAGAGTGAGGTCGTTTCTTGAGAGTTCATCCCCCGAAAGATGTAGAACGCTCGTTGGTTGTTGTGGCAGAGAAAAAATTGTTGCAGGCCTCGAACGCGGTTGTTTGCCATTTTTGTTACTTCGTCTCAACATGATGCACGTATGTAGGTATGTCGACTGCCTCTGCCGCGGTTTCCGCTCAGAGTACAGCAGGTGCACCGCCAATCCAGGGTTATAGAACCAGCCCCGAGACTCTATGACGCGTCGATTGGCACGCGCCGCGGAGCGGAACGGTATTTGATCCGTCCGGCGGAATAGATAGCCGTTCACAACCTAAACACACGGCTTGACACGGCTGGAAATGTTGAATTTTTTCTGTGTAGATCGAGGTAGATTGGTTGGGATTGAAGACACACGAGCAGTCGGTCAATCCCACTCTCGGTTTCGCCCTGCTGTTATTGGGAGCAGCGCATTGTCTGCAGACGGCACACATGCGTTTCGCCCCTTTGCTACACCCTGGCGGCGTATTGCTTTTGGTACCCGTGATCTGGTCGGCGCGGCAGAATATGAAGAGAAAATTATTTGGCCGGCTCTCACATCGCAGGGAATCATGACATAATACACACACAAAGAGAAAGGGCGCGCACCGTAATGCATTGTGCAAGGAGGAAAATGCGTGGCCCACCGTTGGCCACATCCCCCCCGATCCCAATGGGGGGGAGAAACACGCTGCTGCATCCGCATGGGAACAGACCAGAGACGTTATTTTCGGCAATGGTATTTGCTCCACCCACCGGTCGGTGTTGAGTAACTTCTTATTTATTCACCAGGCAGATCTCTGCCCACAGAAGAACTCCAATGAACGTCAAACCAATTGCATCTTGCAGGTATCGGCTGTAGATCTGTCTAGTAGCTACTTTAGGAGCTGAATCAGACCAGTGGCTCCACATGTTCAGCAGAGATATGATGGAAAAGGGGGGTTCCGCAGCATCACAGGAAGTGGTAGTTTATACTTCGAAGCAATGGTTTGTACAATCGCTTTTTCTTGAAGAGAGTGGCCGAGGGGTGTTTTTTGTGGTGCAATAAAAATATGTTTATCGCATGTTGATGTTGTATGCGCGCGAAAAAAAAAATGACCATGAAGGGGCGGGGCAAAATACACGATAGATGATAGATGTCCGTCTGTGTCTGCGTCTGTCTGTCGCCACGCTCTATAACTTGCAGCAGACTTGGGGGCCATTTCACCATCTAGGCGTCAAATTGCAATCAAGGACATGCCCACAACAAGTAACATTTTGCCCGAGCTGTCCCAACTGCTACCTTTTCAATCCGTGGTCGGTGCGCGTAGATAGCACAGCATCTGTGCCGATACAAAGTCGGGAAGGGAGCGTCCCCGCCCAAACCCGTGAATTTTTGGTTCTCCGCTGCTGCTGCTACGCTCAGCAGCTGCTATACATACTGCTGCAATACACACACACTACACACAGATGAGACAGGGAACATGGGCAAGGGGGGCGGGATACACACACACACCACCGGGAGAGCGAGGCGGGAGGGTGTGCCCTATGCAGCTGTTAGCTATCGGTGGAGGAAGCGAGAGGAGAGAAAGAAAGCGTTTGGTTGTGTTGGTGGTATGCGTTTTAACCACCGACGTTTGGTGTCATCATCAGCGAGAGAGAGAGAGAGGACAGAGAGAGGCACAACAACATACGTTGCTAGGCACCACCATGGATGATGCATGTACTGCTGCTTCTGTAAACCTCTCTATACGTGTGTCCGAGGGCCTACATAGGGTACCACCTGCGCCTTCCGTGCTAGTCTGGTCACCCATCACACGCTCGATATTGAGTTGCCGGATGGAAGCTCGAACCAGAGAAAGGAACAGAGGGAGCTTTTTTTTGCGCTACAAGCTGATCATGAATAACACCCCCCCCTCTCTCTAGCTCATGATGATGAACACCACCCCCCCTGCCCTCTAAACGCACGACGAGCCTACTGCAGGCACTGTGTTTTCAACCCAAGAAACTATCCTCCCCCCCCCCGGTGTCTACCATCGGGGTTGGGGTTTCGTCGCTTGGCAACGTTGTAAAACAAGCCCCCCCCTTCGTGTTTGCCATCGGGAGTGGGTTTTCGTTGCTTGGGAACGACGTTGTAAACCAAACCGATCACTTCGTGAGCTCGGCAACCAGGCTACCGCTTATTTTTCGCCTCTGTTTTTTTTTTTGCGATAACCATGAATGATGATCGAGTAGAGTTTGTTATGCGGGGTCGAGAACCCTCACTCCGCGCAAAGGGGATAGTCGCACCACGTTGTGGTAAATTGGTCAAGCACCCTCGAGGCAGTTACACAGTGCTTTCAACTGTCTCTGAAAGTGAAAAGCACCAGAAAATAAACTAAGTCATACGCAGCTGTCATCCGAACCCAAGGAAGTAAGCACAAGACGCCGAACACCCTTAGCAGGATGCAGCGCACCCTTCATGCGACTCGCCGAATACCTCACGGCGCTTCGGGCTTGGTGATGTGAGAGCCTGGTCCGGTGAGAACCCGGCGTGCTCCGCCTCGGCTTTGTAGGGATGCGAGGTCAATGGTCTAACGACTACAACGGTATGCACGACTATGAGTACACCCCCCACCCACCGCCCCCGGTCAGTCTAGTAATCGTGTTGTAACTCTGCCCACACAGACAGCTGTAATTGCATCGTGTTTGCACGGCCCATACCATTCATACAAACAACCTATTGGACACCCACATCCGGTATGTTCCTGCAGAGATATATGGTCAACAGAGGGGGGTCCGCAGCATCTGGGAGGAGGTTATATGTCATTACTGTAGTCCCGCTATACCTCTCGTCACATGCATGGCTTAACCGCGCCTAAACCTCAAGGCACCGCGTTCGCGCGGGCCACAGCCATCATATGGTACAAACCATCGGGCACCCAAATCGGACTATCGTGGTTGCGGAGAAACGCCCACCAACGGGGGCTCCACCAGGCCAAACTCTATCTATCAGGTTGTCGTTTGCCCTACGCAGACTTGCATTGCAATGGCACGGCTCACAGCTATCATACAGCTATCATACAAGTCATCGAGAACGTCACTCAGATCGGTAGGCGCAGAAAAACGGCTACCCACGGGGATTCGATGGCCCAACGGCCGGTGGGTGGCGTGATAATTTCTTGAGTCGTACGAGTCGTATGATTGCGCACTGGACAGCGTCCTGTCGAGTCGGTTATTGACATGCCACCCACCAGAATACAAACTCCGTAGTTGTAGTTCTCATGCGTAATACGCAAAAGGAAGAGTGTCATTAGTCCAGCCAGCAATTGGAAACTCCGAGTACAAGTTACTGTAAGAGAGAAGTGCCGCCGCGGCGGAGTACTCACAAACTTTTGTGTACAGAACCGGCCCGCATTTAAGAACAAATCTCAAATGTTCACGAAAAATAACAACCAAGGGCCGAAAAACAAACCTCAATCTCGGCCACACCTGAAGAAACATCCCAATAAGAAACAAGGGTAGGGGCTGCTGCTGCCAGCTCCCACCCCATACCTAGCCCATGTAATTTTTTGGCAGGGGGGAGAGTGGTTATCTTCGCGGCGCCCCCGCGCCCCAGCACCGTCGCGGGCTGCGCTACCCACTGCTTCTGTACTGCTGTACTGCCGCATCTACTAATGTTGGCCACCTCCGAGCTGGCCGTTTACTACTGCATGGGGGCTTGGTGTGTTGTGGTTTTCCTCGCCAGAAATGAGAAATAACATAATCAGCAGGATGTGAAAGCCCCAAGGAACAATAAACCCGTTTTAAGAAAATGGCCGACCTCGGCTGGTCCTTCTGCCCAAAATAAGAAATTGAGGTTCGACCCGATTTTGACATTTCTTATCTCCGCGCAAGTTCTGAATTGAGCTTTCACCTGTGCAGCGCAACCTAAGACCGAACACTACGTACGTGTGGTTGTGCTGTACTGATGAGACCCCACAGCATACACAGATAGACCAGAGTTAGGGTTCCGTTCCCAATCCGGCCATGGGCGCGGGCAGACGTTTGCCCGTAATTGCGTGCAAGGGGGGAAATGTGGCGATGTTTCGCGGTCAAGACACCGTACACACCTGCGCATGATGGATTGATTTGCAAATTCGGTTATGCTATTTACGACACCGGCGTCGAAAATAATTTTACGATACCGAAGAAATGCTTCAAAACTACATCCTCGTTCGTCCCACAGTGACCGTTGGTTGCCGAGATGTGGCTCAAAATGATGTCACGGCACCACCTCGAAGGATTCGTCGTAAAAATCGATTCTTATGTACGACACCGTAGTTACCTTTCCGAAAACACCACGAATATGCACAAAACCAATTGAGCTGTGTTCTCAGGGCCCCCGACTCGTCATTCGGCCGAAACCAACATTCGGTTGCGGCTATTCATAGAGACCTACAGGTTGCCTTTCTTTGATCGTCCGACCGAGGGCACAGGGTGGATCGGCTACATAATCCACAGAAAAGACTATCTCCATCGCTGCATACAGACAAATGGAAATGTTGGCAAGCAATTTCGTCAGCAGTTTGGTCAGCGCACATCACTCAGAGGTCCACAGGCGTTCGTTGTGGAACGGCCCCGACTACGAAGACGTAATCGAAACACCTAGGTGGCTGAAGGAGTGGGGAGCGCAAGCGAGGGTAACCCTTGTTTCGTGCAGCACGAGGCTACTCGTCGAAGGAATTTATATGCATCTGAAACTAGACTCGGCGTTTTCGGTAGCACGACACCATCCTCGAATTGGGAGTGAAAGGTGTTCCAAAAGGTTTATGACATCCCAAAGGGAAATGGTGTCCAGCGGTGACGAAATTGAGCGCCAATGAAAAACGGTCTTCACGATGTGCCCTCAACTCATTCGTGCCCATGATGTTCATAGACGGGGCTTTCGGTGTCCCAAGTTCCGGTGTGAAAGCGAGTCCCGACTTCTTCAAAACATCCTGTTTCACTGTCGCAACCCCACGTGAGAAATTCACTCTTTCATTCTTGTCCACGACATTCAAATCGAGGGCTGTCTGTGCCCAAAGTCCCGGTGTGAAACCGAGTCCTGACTCCGACACGTACATCTTTCTGATTTGATCGAATCAGAAATGTAACATTACACGGCGTCATCGCCACATATATGTTTCACCGTCTTCAACTTAATTTTCCAACCATTTCGCAAACTTGTAATTGTGAAGCGCGGGCGTCGCGCTCTCTAGGTCGTGATGTAGCTATCGCTGTGTTGTCGCTGTCGCTTCACTACAGAAAAACGGGAGGTTCTAGGTTAGCGTGCATGTGATACTTGCAGCGTATGGCTGGCCGGTGTGCCACATGAGGGAGAGGCTGGACGTTTTTTGCCCGCATTAAATGCGTGTATACACAGACGTGTGTAGACGTCACAAGAACGTTCCCGAGCGTGTTCCGGCATGGAGACCACCGATGTCTCGAAGGAAGTGCTGCAGTCGTTGTCACAGAAGCAAACCAGCAGATCTAAGTATGCTCCTGCACACTATGCAACCCTAATGCTCCGTCAACACATGCTTTGGCCAGAGATGATGCGCCCAAAGGTGGAGATTCCGCAACGTTGAAATGCATTAGGCACCAATGACGAATTGTTGCGGTTGAGGTTTGCATCTGTACACACAGGCGGCTACTTCGTGTCACGGTTTTGTTGCGTACTTGCCGTGTCCCAGGGCTCATCGTGTGACGCGATTGGCAAACGGAGACCGGTTCAGCACACTGGAGGCTGCTAATCGAGCATGGCAGGCGTCGGCGAGCACTTATGGACGCCACATAGGGCACAGGCAAGAACGAGTTCGTTTACTGATTCGTCGGTGTGTGAGTCGCTTGATCTCGATTCATCCCACACATGTTCTGTAACCCCCCAAAAACTCCTCACATGATGTGTGTGTATATGTCGTATGCACTCGCCTTGGTGCTCCTTTATCGCAGCCTCACATCACTTGATTTCGCTCCTTCACGATAAATTCCGTTGTTGGCTCGGTCTCTCTGTCATCTAAAAAACAATTGAAATTGCTTTGTCGCACGGCGGAAGGGCTTCATCCACAGGGCCTAGTGACATTTGATTGTTGAAATGGCACTTCTGTAAACTATGTGAGGATGAGGTGTAGGTATCCACCAGAAAAGAGGCGATATCTGAAGGCTAAGTGAGTGAACAGTATCACGCGATCACAGCTTCGCAGCGTGGTTCCTCACTCTCGTGTACGAGCGTGGTTGCTTGCGCTCGCATGCGCTGGTAGAGGCGAGAACCTTGCCACCCCATCCCACCAGACTCCAGTTCCCTGTAGCTTGGCTTGCAGCACCTCAACCCGTCCCCGAAAGACCTGCAGAAAAGCTACACTTCGCCACCATGCCAGAGAAGGGCGCGATTAGGCACAGCCCTTGGGTAATCGTGTTTTGGAGCACATTCGCCAGGTTGAATCGTCCGACTTTGGTATTTTCCTCTCACCATGTGTGCATAACAGCGCAAAAAGTGGCCCACGGTGGGCGGGATGGTGCGTGGTGATCCTGTGCGAGTTGCAGAGTACCCGCTCCCACGCACACCACACCGAAATGATTTACTCTCAAGAACAGCGAGCAAAAAGGAATCGCTAGGGGACAAAAACGACACGTCATGAAGAGAAACGCAGATAACCGCCCCCCCACTACAAAGAAAAAACGAAGTTCTTCACAACCTCTCTTCCCACCGCCCCCTATCCCGCCGCCATGTGTGCATAACAGCGGAAAAAGTGGCCCACGGTGGGCGGGATGGTGCGTGGTGATCCTGTGCGAGTTGCAGAGTACCCGCTCCCACGCACACCACACCGAAATGATTTACTCTCAAGAATAGCGAGCAAAGAGGAATCGCTAGGGGACAAAAATGACACGTCATGAAGAGAAACGCAGATAACCGCCCCCCCACTACAAAGAAAAAACGAAGTTCTTCACAACCTCTCTTCCCACCGCCCCCTATCCCGCCGGTTACTTGATGCCATCCCCATGCAGAGGATGCAAAAAGCAATGTATGAATTGCGTCGTTGTATCCGAGACCCAGAGAAGGACGTGGAGAAGGGCTTGGAGGAAGTACAGAAGGAAGTAGGGGAAGGCCTGGAGTCACTCTTGGACGAAGCTCTACAGTCCAAATGGCCCGAAGACGGGCAGAACGTACTCCTGTACGCCGCGGCCCAGGGGAACCAGACCTGGCTCCTTGGCCTGGTAGACCTCATACGATCACGGGTGAGTTAACCCAACTTGCAGAGCTCACGAGATCATCTCTGTCACTGCCGCGCAGTGCCGGAGAGCAAATCGATTGATATGTAACAGGTGGCATCGTGTGTTGTGCGCCTCCTCGGCGTGGAAACACAAAACCTTCACGACGAGATGGTTTTACCAACAATGTGCTCGATTTCGACTTTGAGGACAAGGGTGCGCTGATCGTTGCTTGTTGTGCGTTGCATGACCGGGAACATTCGAAATTTTGAAGCAAATATTAATAGTTGGGAAGGAGCGAAACTCAAAATGTCCTTCACTCTACGTTGCGCGCCCTATTCGGCAATTATTTCGACAGTTAAATACACCAAGAGCTGTCGAGGGCAGGTTTAATCGGCAGGAAAGTTAGTCAATCACACGGGAAACCACCCAGACGTCCGTTTTCGCCGCCAAACTCCCTCTTTACGGCCGCTCGCTCACCCAAACAATCCGCCAAGGTGGGAATCCATGCGCTCGTCAAGGAGTTACGCGAAACCGACATCGACGGTGTTCCGCTTCTGTTCCACGCGGCTTCGAGCCGTCGCAAGCATTGTTGCTTTCGAATTGCGTACGACCTCGTCTTTACGGTGCTCGGCAAGGGCGGGGTCATAGAGCAGTTCGAGGCTTTGGACGGACTGGGCAGAGGGATACTCATGCACGCGGCGCGGAGCAACCATGTCGACACCTTCAAGGACGTGTTCGACAAGTGCAGGAAGGCTGCCGAATCCGTACGACTACACGACCAGTCGAATGCCGTCGCCAATGATGGCCGAATAGAAATTCCTGAGGTCCCACTTTATGGTTTTCGTGGAGAACGACCATCTGACAGCACAACGCAAACGCCGGAGAAGAGTTCGAACTCTCTTTTGTTGCGTGAGGTGTTGGGGACGGTCGACCGCAAGGGTATGACCTGCCTTCACCATGCCGCGGAAGCGGGCTCTAGCGAAGTGCTGTGTGAGGTGGTGAAGGAGTGTGGTTCGCATTGGGCGGATTTGGGTGCATCGGACAGGAGCGGACGCACCCCGATCATGCTCGTGCTCAGAAATGCTTTTTGCTGCGAAGGCGAGGAGCACACGTGCAGACAAACCGACCTGGAAGACAAGTTCGGCATTTTGTTCGACGAAATACCGTTGGAGCCTATACGGGCCACAGGAGGGCACCGCTACATAGGGTGGATGCAGCCGTCGCGCATTCAACCTCAGCGCCTACCAGCACCAAAGCAGACACCCGTTGAGACCCGGGCGGTGACGGAGCTGATTCATGCTGCACGAGGCGGCGTGGTGTCGTTAGAGCTAGCCCTGAACAAGGCTCTGCCTAACTCCAAGACCGATTCTGAGGATGGTTTCAAGGTACACCTCGACAGCGCACTTGCGGTCGAAGTGTGCATCGACGGCAGTTGGAGGCAATCGCAAGACGACCACCACCGTACTGTAATCTGGGGAAGGGCCTTACTACTGGCAGCGGCTGCGAGGCTCGGCGATGTTGACGTGCTTTATCATGTCTTGGTTGCCATCGAGGTCAGTCACGGACCTTGAAGGGAGTGAAAGCGGCCACAACAAGTTGAAACTTCGGATTGTACGCATCACGCAGTCATTTGCACGCACGTCAGAGATAAAAACATTTGTGGCACGCAGTTCGCGGATCGAGACTGACTGCACTAAGAGCGAAAATTCTTTTCCTCGGCTTTTCGAGGATGGTGAGGTTTTCCTATCGCCGCCATACATATATCGTGCAGAATAATTTGCCCATTTTCGGAAGTACCCACAACTTCACAGAAGGGCTACTCGTTCGAATTCTACACCCGCAAGGAATATTCGGTTATCCGGTTCGCCTCTACAACATGAGCGATGTAGCAGCGCGTAGCCTCCGTCAGCTGAAAAATCTCTGGACTGTTGGAAAATATTATTGTGAGAGAAACGGGTACAAATCCTTTGCGGTTAACAATGGTCCATCACGTTGCGTCTTGTGTCTTCCACAGGACGACGAGTTCTTCCTCGAGGCCGATGACGCGGGGAAATTCAGGCTTCCCGAAAGGCCGATACCGGTGGATGAGACGCCGACGGCAATCCCAGTAAGCAATAAATTGCGGGAAGTGCTGGGGATGATCAACAGCCGGAATGTGTCCCTCTTCTCGTTGGCGATCTTGTCCAGACGCCACGAGGCCGTGGAGCTCATCTTCGACCTCGTGGTGCGTCTCTTCGGAGAAGATCAAAGCAGCCGAAACGACCAACGCGCGGTCCGTTTCCGTGATGGCGATGACGGTGATCAAGGCCACCAAGGACAGGGTCAACGCGACCGAGGCAATCAACCCCACCACGATACGGTGTGTAAATTTGACAAAGAATATCGTTACCACGTGATCCAGCAGCACCGCAGAGGATGGCCCAACTGTAAAGCCTACCATTGTCTGTATCAACGAAACGGCTGTTTTATAATTCATACGGGGTCATGAAAGCCAAGATAGGCTATTGAACACGTTGTTACTGCATCTTCAGTAGGGCGAAACAAAAGCAACCTGAGCGTTGAGGAAAATAACGCCGCTCGGGGGTATGATCGGCACAACGGTCGTAGAGTTTGTTTTTACCGTGGGCCTTTCCGCTAGGCCCTCCTGCAAAACTGGCTAACGAAGTCTTTGAAGAGGGACAACTTTTTCTCGGAAACCGACCCGGCAATCACCTCCTCATACGCTTGCAACCGAAGGTATTCATTGTTCCCCGTACACCTTTCGGTCAAGGAACAGGTAGAACACGGTTGTTCTGGGGACGTTTGATGTCTTGGCAAGCCTGGGGACTGCTTTGCCCTTATTTTTCCCCTTATGAAGGACGGGTACGCTTGACACGACGGTGGAATTTCTGGGCACACGCCATCGTTTTCTTATTTTTTTATTGGTCCGTTCCACGTCTCTTCCCCCCCTATGTTTGCCATCGGGGTTGGGTTTTCGTCGCTTGGCAACGACGTTGTAAAACACGCCGGTCGCTTCGTGAGCCCGACCACCAGGTTGCTGCTTTTTTTTTCATCTTTATTTTTTGGTTTTGCGGTAACCATAATGGTGGTCGAGTAGATTATGTCATGCGAGGTCGAGAACCCTCACTCCGCGCAAAGGGGGTGATTCAACCACGTTGTGTTAAATTGGTCAAGCACCCTCGAGGCAGTTACACAGTGCTCATATCTGTCTCTGGAAGTGAAAGCACCAGAAAATATATTTTGTCATTCGCAGCTGTCATCCATTCGTAAGGAAGTAGACACATGATGCCGAACACCCTTAGCAGGATGCACCGCACCCTCCATGCCCACTCGCCGAATACCTCACGGCGCTTCGCGCTTGGATGTGAGAGCCTGGTCCGGTGAAAACCCGGTCGCTCCGTCCCGGCTTTGTAGGAATGCAAGGTCAACGGTCTAATGACTACGGCACGCACGGCTACGAGTACACCGCCCTCCCCACCTCTCTTGGCTCGAGCCCGACTTCGCTTTTCTGATTTTTCCTTTGCGCATGGGTTCACTCAAGAGAACTCCTGTGTAGCAATGCCACGTCAACTCTATCCGCGAAGATGGTGAAATGGACCCCTGAAACGAACTATTCAAGGTGTGCGTCCCCCTTTCCGCGTTAATTCAACACCTGCTTTCTCCCATCCATCATGCTTGATCAAGACACGCTGCAGGTTAAATCCTTTCAACTCTGGAATCCTTTCAACGAGGTAGAACGCGTATCTCTCGCCAATTGTTGTTAGCCTAAGAATCAACATGTGATCCTTCACCCCAACCCCCGTTGTCTGTGGTGAACATTTTGTACATTTTTGGCGGTGCCAGACGACTGACCCCCACCCGATGTACTGACACGCTATGTACGACCTAACGTTTATACAATCTTCAGATTTGGTCGATCCTCACCGGGCATAGTCACACGACCAGCTCTCTCACGTGTGCAGCCTCGGTCTCAATGGAAGCGGACGGGAACGGACGGACGATGTTCTGCCTAGTGTTTGAAATGCTGGAGAAAGTGAGTCCATCGGTATGTTGAATCATATTGTCCTAAATCTTCGGAGAAACTAAGGTCGGATAGTTCTCGGTCAACCCTGGAACGTATCAATTGGTGCTAAGAGGATTGAGAAGCTGCTTTGACTCAGCCCGTGCGGGCGATGACGACAAAGAGCATCGTAAGCACTGCACGAAAATGTTGTACTCTTGTCCTCCCGTGCTCGTGAAGGTGTCGAATATTCTTCGTATTCTACGTTTGAGAGCCTGGTCGAAGAGCACGCACTTTTCTATGCCTGCTCCTTTCCAACTTGGTTCAGAACAACAACTTAAAGAAAGATACCTCGGTACCCAACCCACGAACAAATGGATCCCAGCGTTTCGATGACATCGTCGTCCATGAACTTGCCTTTAGGGTCCGAGGGGTTTTGCTGGCAATAATCTTTCGTTTGATTGAACTCGTTGGTAACCGTAGTTTTCAGACTACCTTTTCGGTTCGGGAGCATCCGCTGCGAGGAGGAATCTTTTTTCACGTTGATGTTCTTCAATGATTGAGCAAAATTAACCCAATCGTTAATAGTTTCAAGAGATGTCCGCTCCCCCGCAAATGTATTGGTCGGCTCTGTAACGGTCCAGATTGCTGGTAACGAGCACACGAAGTAAATCTGAACCCGCCGTACTCTGTGCAATCTCCAACACAATGTTTATATTCCCATGGCCGTCTGAGCCTCGTTAACCCCTTTTAAAAAGCACGTTTGTCGTTACCCACGGTACAATTCTTTTCTTGGCGGTACAGCAATTTAGGCGGGGAGTGGGCGAGAAGAAGTTTAGGGAGCTACTGTCGCCCAAGTCGATGACCTTGAAATCGTCTAGCACAGACCAGGAGCATTCGATTTCTCCACTGGCGGGGGCTGTCTTCAGCAGCAACTGGGTGCTGTTTCGGGAGGTGTACGACCGCTACGAGAAGTTAGCCGGCTGCTGCTGGCAGCGTGAAACAGTGAGAACTTGACAAGTACTTTTACTCTTGGCCTCTTGTAAGCTGGGAGCACGTGCCTTGAAATATCTCCGTTGCGATCCAAGTTTTCGAGCGCGCTTTGTTGCCATCCAGAATTGCTTGGAAGGTATCGGTGAAAGTTTAGCCTCGGAACGTGTACCCATCCTAAGAACCCTGGTACCGACGGCGTCTTCGAACTCAATGTGAGGCCGAAACCGTGGACATAACCACTCACCTCAACGAAGCCTTTGGCAATAGTGTTCTCTCAAATGCTGCCCATGTGGAGACTAGAAAATTGGCACACCGCTGATGAAACCGAAAGCACTATGCGCCTGTCACAGGAAGCGCATGCTGCTGTCACCTGCGCACAACAGTCCCGGCGTGTTCACCGTCGAATACAGTAGCTCAACCTTTATTTCTTGTATCGTGCCGACCCAATACATTAAACAAACCTGTTCGTAGCAACGGGTTGGAAGTCGCGACGTAACGCCAACCGGGGTAGATGGCTCCGTGTCTGTACGCTAGATGCCCTCCCACTACCAGAAAGCAAAGGTGCCACGACAAAGATACTATTTGCAGCGATAAACCCTTGTGGCCTGCTGCTGCTGCTGCTGCTCCTGCAGTTGTTGTTGTTGTTGTTGCCGGTTCTGCCTTTTCGGGTCGTTTTTGGTGTCGTCATCGTCATGGTCAGTCTGCTGTCGCTGCTCTTGTCGGTTCTGCCTCCTCTTCCGGCCTGGACCTTGTCGATGATCTGATCCGAACTCTATTTCGATCGATATGCGTGCATTCGTGTGGGGTTCGGCGTCGTGACTTGTCCTTCCAATGCCTATGCCCAGATGCATCAGTTGGTCGTACAAAATCAGGGCCTAAAGAATTCACGACGGGGGTGTGCACAAATGCGCTCGGAAGGGTATACGTTAGGCCAACGTCGGTATCTCCGCGTGTTTCTCTTTCAGGTGTTGAAGCAGATCCCGCAAGGTCCTCCCCATGGCCGCTCCGTGCTCAAGGATGAGGAACTGCACGAGTATCACGACAACATACCACCGCTTATCACTCGCGGGGCTTGGACCATCCCTGCAGTCATGTGGCCTGACATCGTCAAGGTAATTCACTTGTTCATTCCACATCTTGAGGGCTTGCACCGCGGGAGACCGATCGACAACTTTCGCAGACAGGCACGCCCAAGAGTCTACGGGTGTCCCGCTAGACACCTCCAAGCAGTATCGAAGAGAGTTCTACGATACCATATCGTACGATAAGTTCCATCCGGGTTCGACCTTTTACGTTTTAGGCTTTGATGAATCCATGCAGATGCTACTCTCAATTCCCAAGAACTAGCGAAAACGGTTCGACCGTGGCGCCCTTACCCTTCAGGGTGAACCACGAGGCAGGGGAATAGATACACCAATACAGGCCCAAACGGTGGTAGCGTGCAACAACGACAGGGGTGCTTTGGGTTCGAACCGGGCCGAACAAAGCTGCTCCTCTGTCCAAAGAACGACTGCATGAATCGTTGCGTGCTGGCAGGGTGTGACTGGCAGGGTGCATGCTTTCGATGGCTTCCTTGTGTCCTCCTGCATCCACGATTTCCTCGTTCTCTGAGACTGAGAAATATCTGCGACGATAATCCGTGTGCACAGCATTGTCACGAGGGGAATAAGGGGGCGAAAAACAGCAAGTCTGGTGTTTCTTCGCCCATGTTGACAGCAATTATTGCATGCACGGCCATGAACACCCGTGAAACGTACAACTAGGTATTGGTGGCCCGAAACAAAGGCCGCTACAAAAGCGTCCCGGTCCAAATTAGAACCTCAACGCCAGGATTCATGGTGCTGTCGTCAATCGCTTTTATCATCAATATTGACAGGTGCAATGGTGTGGGCGAAACTGGGGAGAAATGAGTTGGTGCAATTTGCTAGACAAAAGCGCTGTGGAGTACGACTTCATTGTGCTATGGACTGTCATTGTGTTTTGTTCGGCTTCACGACGATAAATGCACAGGCTTACAAACGGGGCGAGCCAGATGACCGAGAGGGATATTGCTGCTGCGGAAGGCAACATCAACGACTGCTTTCGTGGAGGGATGATTTTAAGCACTATTCCCGACGAGGAGCCAAGGTCGCGGCGAAGCGGGGCGACTTCACAGCTCTCAGGTACCTGCAACATGACTTCCCCCAGCAGGTCATGCAGACATGATCCGTATTGTACCGTGCACGAAGAGCAATACCGGCAGCTGATCCGCAGCAGGCATCAGCGTTCACCTGTATTACAATATATTTGTCGCCGCTTTTCGACCGTTTCACGGAGAAATAAACTCTAGTTGTGTTCTTCGTCAAGTCCCGCGTTTTCAGGCCAGGGCTTAGAAGCTGCCGCACGCAAAGCAAACTGGCAGAAATCGCTGTAGAGGCGATGTTCGAGAGCTCAATATCTCAACTTGAACGTCGAGGGTTATGTATGGTATGTTGGTTGGAAAGGCCGACATTTTGAGGGGGTGATCGTACTTGTCGGCCTGCTGGACACGTCCTTCACGAGCAACCATTCTCACGCCCAATATCATCGTGGAAGATTGTAAACCAATGTACGATTGCTTGCGTTTGTACGAAGAGTACAAACGAAACGCGTGAATTTGTAACTATCTGGAATGGTTCCCTGGAGCGCCAGCAATGGTCTTTTATCAAACCGCCCACCCGACCTTCGGAGCCGTGTGTGGGCGAAGGTGAACCGGGAACGTTCTCTCGAGGGTTGGTGGGGATATTCCCACTACAACCAGCCCCCGAGCCAGCTAGCTGTGTACCTCAACATGCGTTTTGGCTGCTTCTTTGATGACACACCTATCTCCACGTCGTGCGGGCGAAAGTACATTGAAAAAAATACTTGCCGGGCGGTATAACAGTAGTCTAGTGTTCTGGAGGGAAAAAGATGGCGAGAGGTAATTCGAGAGGCAGATTTTGACAGCGTTAGTGGCGGGTTAACAATAGAATACCCTCCACGACTGTGGCTGTGTCCAAGGTTGCCCCACCCGAACGACGACTTGCAACGCCCGTGACGGTTTTCGTACAGGGAGTTGGTGAACGAGGGTTTTCCTCTGCACGATGATCACATGCCTTTTTTGCTGGAAAATATCGGAGACCATGAGCACGACGTCATTGACACTATATTGGCGGCAGTTGCCAGTACAAGGTGAGATGGGGCGAGGTGTCAGGCAGAAAGTTATTTATTCGGTGCCGGTATTGCGAAAGTAGTAGATTTCAAAATCATCTCGATTGCTGACGGCGACAGACTATCAAATGGATGTAGGTGTGGGTGAAAAATAGAGTAACATGCCAGCGAATTCTTGCTGGAGTTTCTGGTAAAATACCACGTCCTTCATCTATCGACAGTGAGAACGACCAAGCCAACTAGAACAATGTACCATGGTCCTTAGAACGTTGTTGACCAATCGCATTCGTGAAGAAAACACAAGTTGATATCCCCGTTGTCCATGCAGCAATCCGTTCGCGATGGCGGCTGGAGTATCAAGGACGCTGCGGATGAGCAAAGTCGACTTCCCGATGCATTCAGAGGGCCTCGGCCGTCTACAGAGCATCATGGACGACTTCACGAGCAAGGTGAAAGAGCCCTACATTGTCGATATGAAAAGCCGACTCGTCAACGTGCGGCGTGGCATGGCTCATGACGTGGGCGCAGAGGCCGTCACTATACCCAATTGCTCCAATCTCGTGGAACGATGATCAATCTTCCCATGTGCACGTTAGAAACGAACAACAAGCAATGTCGGTCAATTTCGGAGCATGCGAGGCAAATCTTCGGTGCTTTGCGCCCCGTCTTTTCCCATCGCTCAACAGGTGCTGGAACAGCTCCCGCAGACGGTGCGAGGGATGGGGGTGGCGCTCCTCGGGGGGCATCAGCCCATTGTATTCGGTGAGGGCCTTGAGCAGGGGAAACGCCACAGACTCACCAACCTGGCAGGCTTCATCGTCGTGGTACGTGAAGGCTTCTCGCCATATCCTTCACGCTCAGTTTGATATCTTGGACTTACTTGTCTTCAGAAGCAAAGAAATGGTGTTGCGGCTCATGAATTGATGATTGTTCCGTGCGAGGCTGTGCTGTTCATTCCCGTTTTCAGGCTACTATGTAGGGTATCACCAGGCCAATTGCATACACCGGGTGTGCTTGTGATGCCAGTGAGGATGTCATGACGTCGAAAACCTTCAGGAGCGGTCATTTTTCTGAAGGTCGCTGCCATAGACGTCGTTTCGACAATTGCTTCTTGCCGGATCTACAAGAGTACATGTACGTGAATTCTAGAAAGAGTGTCGTTGCGGCTCTTTCACGCTGGAACTGCTGTGACCCTAACGTTACTGCTGGTCGTTTGCTGTTGTCTCTCTCGGCAGCAATGGATTCTGGAGCCGAACCTCCTGGTTGGAAAGATCAACACCCAGAAGAAGTGGGTTGCGGTAACGTTTCGCAGCATCGGCACATTTTCGAATCACGCGCGCGAGCTCTCTTGGTCGGTTGCTGTGGTATTTGTGTTCGGGTTGTATTGCTCCCACGGATCCAGGCTGATCATTCGTGTGCCCGCATGTGCTGCCCGTGGCTCTAAATCCATCAACAGCTTTGAATATTTCATCCTTATATTCCTTTCAATCATTCAAGTGTATGAATTAGTTGGGGCAAACGACACAATCACAAGGGTATACCCGGGTCGAAAAGCGACACAGCTGGGAACATACATTCAACAGCGTGGAAGAACCCAGATGATTGGTCAAGGCCCTTTTTCACCCCGCCGCATCCTAAAAGGGTGGGGTATCCCCTGCCGTGGCTACTTTTCTCCAGAAGTGCACCCTGAAAATGTACCCTTACCTGACGGGAAATGAGACCCTTCAATCAACCATTTCCTCCGCAGGAATCCTTTCGCAATCCTTTTCCCCTCCAACCAACCATGTTTTTTTTTTTGTCTTCACTTCAAATCAGCGCTCACAGCACTAGTGCCGTTAACTCCAACCCGTGGTCACACAGAAGAGCCCTCTCTACCCTGCCATCCTGCGGTACTTTGCCTTCGATTTTCAATGCGAGAAGAGTTCAGCACTCTCTTATCTCTTGTGTACACACGAACTAGCGCTATCCAGGAGCGGAAGCGAGAGAAAAACTCACTTTGCAAGAAAAGCTCGCTTGCGCCGGGATTCGAAACCCTGACCTGACCTCTAGAGGGTTTCGAGGATACCAACCAGACCACGGGGGCGACCGGCATACGAACCATCAACTCTTTCCGCTCTAAACAAACGATGGTTGGCTGGCAAACGCCCGTAAAGTTCCGTTCGGAAACGTCGGGGTGTTACGTACGTACGTACGTATTTCTTCACTAGATAGTCCATTGTGTGATGTTGGGATGTGTGTGCTTGGTGTACGATGACAATATATGTAGGTGCATGGGTGAGTTCGTGCGCCGCTCCTTTCACCGAAGCTCCTTCGGCGCCACTCCCTCCTCCCTGATGATTGATAATGACGGCGTGTGTGTGCGTGTTGTGTTGTGTTTGTGCCTCAATTAGTGGTGTGTGTGTTTCGCTTGAATAATTAAATAGTCGATCGCGCCTACCAGCCGGCCAATGCACAACGCGTCAGTTCAGAAGGATGAAAAAAAAACAAATGCGAACACTCGCTCTACCGACATGGAGGGTGCAGGAGTTGGAAACCACAACAGTGTCCTGCTTCTGGAGTGGAAGACTCGATGTACATGTGTCCTTCCTCTCCTCTCTGCAGCCACGAGCTCGCCCAACCACACCACCACACATGGGCACATGCATCAACCATGCTGGATCAGTCTCTCATTCTAAGCGTGGCCGTTATCTCGCATAAGTAGACGCTGATGGTGCATTGGTCGGCTGCGTTCTGCGTTCCAACCCAAAATTGTGCTGACGTTTGCAGCTGGCGTTTGCCAGCCAATTGTTTGTTTGGAGCGGCAAGAGGTGATGGTTGTTCAATCTCTGTCCTGATTGATTTCTGCCCAGTTGGCATGGTTGTTTTTGGGCGGGAATCGCTGGTAGGTATCCCATGGTTGGAGGGGAAAGGGATTGGGAAATGATTCCTGGGGAGGAAATGGTTGTTTGAAGGGTCTCATTTCCCGTCAGGTCAGGGCATATTTTCCGAAATCGGGTCACACGTTCGGAGAAAAGTAGCCACGGCAGGGTACACCCCGCCCTTCTTAGGACGCGACGGGGGTGAAAGTAGACTATGACCAATAATCTGGGTTCATTTACGCTGTTGAATGTATTTACCCAGCTGATTCACTTTTTGACCAGGGTATATCCCGTTGTGTCGCTTGCCCAATAAATACAGTGCCAAATACGGGAGTTCCTGATTCGTTGGAATCTTGACGCTCCGAACCATGCATTATGGGGTGGACGGAATGGCTCGAACTGGAGAGCGGTGCGGAACATGACCACAGTTCTACTAGGGTGAAAGCAAACTAAAACCTGCGAGTGTAGACAGAGAAAAGCCACCAGGGTGCGCCGAAACCTATTTGTTCCCAATGAAACAAATGTCGTAACCCGGTTCCGGCAAGCTGTATACTTCTAAGTAGGTGACAACCCGAACACGGGGAGTATCACCTACTACGATGTTATCCATTTCAGGATCCCGTAACTTCCTGATTAAGCACTGTTGAAAAGTATGTAAGTGGTTGCACCCTAGTCTAGACTGGGCCCTCGTCTAGACTGACCTGCTAAGCGACGAATCAAATGTTGGTGATGCAGGTATGCTGGGCCGGACTACCTCGACCCTCTACGGCGAGCGTTGGACAGAGGTTCTGAAGCCCTGGACTTCCTCAACACCCCCCTGGTGAAGGACTACGTGCACATTAAGTTCGCCTGTACCCTCCCTTCCTGGACGTCGCGAAACCCTTTTCAGCCCACCGTCAATGAAGGTTAGCCCTGCCATGCATTTTTCAACCCTTTTTGCCCAAGCCCCTTATGCTTCATGTCGTTCAAACGGAATTCTTGATTTCGATCTTGAACGTTCGAGTCAAAACTCCCCTTGGGAACCCAAGGTTGTTTTCCACCATTCTTTGGGGATTTTGCCACGTTTGCATTTACATGCCTACCTTTGTCAAACACACCACGTTCGTTTAAAGTCTAGAATGCCGTTACGCGTCGTATCGATCCCCTTGAGTATTTGCGTGCGTTAAGTCTTTCCCGTGGCACGTCTAGGGTCCATGTGGAGTTTTAAACCCTTGGCCTCGAGGAATACAGGTATTGCTACCAATAGCATCGCATCGGCTGGAAAATAATGACGTGTACAGTTTGCAACCTAACGACAGCTCGTTGATATTTGTGGATGGCGGGGGTGTCTACGCGATCAGATGCTCTCGGTGACCTTCATGACTTGGCCACCTCACGTTGACGTCCGACGTGAACTCAGGTTTTTTCAAGTACGACGATTTCGACACATACCCGCTATCGGAAGTATTTTCGGCCCCTGACGAAAACCTTGGGTCGAAAGACGAAGAGTCCCGGGGTCTGAAGGCAGCTCTGAAGGAGCAGTTCCTGACCAAGTCCTTCCTGTTGAGGTGGGTTGGTGACAAATACGTACCCAGCAAGAATATTTCTTGAAGACACCTGCCGAACTCTTCGCCGCAACATCTGTGCGTCAGGTATCGAATGTATCCGCAACAATCGACCAAGCCGTGTTGTTCGAGAACTTTTGACGTAGAACATTGAGCAGTGGCCAAAATCGGGTACACCCGGTCCAACCACGGCCATAATTCGCGTACCCCTACAAGACACACCTGAGAGCGACCGCATGACACCATCTGATTGGCCGACGCCCGCCCCTACCCGACCTTGACCGTCTTTCCACCGGATGCACCCCATCTTGGCTACGCACCACCAGGAGGGGTACCCGGTTTTTCTTTCCCGTACCCGAAAATGACTGGGCTGTTCGGCCAGAACCCATGCACACAATCACGGGTCGAACGCACACCGCTGGCCGCTCGTTTGCCGCCAATGAGAACGCGGCGGAGGCAGATAATATGTCTAGTTTTAAGATGATGAGTCTCGTGTGTGTCGCATCTCTTGAGTGAGGTATTCGTCCAGCTCTTCTCGATCATTTGCACCGACGGCCTGTCGTTTCCCCCAAGCGAGAGTTCCACCGCCGGCGGTGGGTCTGCCTCCGCCCGCCGTCGGATCGTCCGAATTCGAGGGCAGGGCATTGCTGACGTGTTCTTGTGTGCATGACTTTTGGCCGAACAGCCCAGCCATTTTTTTGTAGAGGAAAGAAAAACCGGGTATCCCTCCGGGGGGGTGAGTTGCCAAGATGGGGTGCACCCGGTGGAAAGACGGTCAAGGCCGGGTAGGGGCGGGCGTCGGCCAATCACATGGTGTCATGCGGTCGCTCCCAGCAGCAACTTGTAGGGGTACCCGGTTATGGCCGTGGTTGGACCGGGCGTACTCGATTTTGGCCACGCTCTAGAACGTTCGACACTGGTATCCCACAAGTACGCATAGTGCATTAGACTTTCGGGTGATGTGCAATTTCCATGTGCCTACTACTGACATGGTGCGATCGGCCAGCTCCCGGCCAGCTCACATGCATACTTTTGCGCAAAATGTTCTAGTAAAAAAACGTTTTACTGGAAAAAAGTTATTTTCACGCAAGTTAAAGCCATAGGCTGTGCCGCCCAACGGTTGGCGGCGTTCGTTGCCTAGATATGGCATCGGAATCGTACTACAATACACCGAAGAACGGGCGAGTTCATGCAGGCAAGCGTCTCTATGATAATCTCGATCGGAACCTGCTTGAAATCCTACCATGTGCTCCGATGCGGGTGACATACGCCCCTAGAGCAAGGCGTTACGAGAGTTTTTATCCCTTCGTGATCAACACAATCAAGCTTGAATAGTCATCATAATACCACAGCGCCGCTGCCTCGTTTTCACTTTATGCCCTTGCTTCGTTGATTCCACAGGTTTCTCCAGGGTTGGGACCACAGAGACAGCCTTCTGAAGTGGAATATCCCGATAGGTGATATACGGTTTGCCAGCAAGAAGTTCAAGAGCGATACCCGTGCCTCCAACAATGCCCACGACAACGCCCAGGACAGCACCCAGGACAACTCTCAAGACAATGCCCAAGACAATGCCCCTGGGTGCTGCGGCGGACGCTTCAAAAGCATCATCCCGTCTTGGTTGCTCTGCTGTAACGGAAATGTCTCGGGCAATGCCGCCAACAACGCCCCCGATAATGCCCGCGGCGACGCCCACGACAGCAGTGCCCACGGGTGCTGCGTCGGACGTTTCGAAAGCATCATCTCTTCCTGTCGTCAACCACTCTGGTTTAATGACAAACCGAAGAGGTGGACAATTCCGCACAGCACGATTTTGCCTGGACTGCAGTTTTCTCTGGCAGGAGTACTGGGAAAACCGGAAACTTTCTACCAGGTCCCGGCGATTCGTTTCGTGTTTGAGATCTTCACCTATCTGTGAGCCGACTTCGTTCGTTTCAGAGTATCTGTTAGAATGCTTTTGAGGGGCACGGTGCTATGAGTGCACATCTGGAAAACGCTCGCATGCAAGACCTACCGACGAGCTCAACGCAAACCCACGATATCGGGCGGCGACGCTTTGGTTCTTCGATGTCCGTCCTGGCCTTATCTGGGTTCGTTAGACTGGTGAAGCGGGCACATGCATGCCTGCGAGCGTACGTGTGACCCTATTAGTTCATAGAGATGCTTGTATGGTTTGTCTCGGTATTGCACCCATGACATTCGAAGCAAGATTGTGCAATATCCCACCTGCTGCTGCACCAACCGTGCCCGCTCTGTCGTCACCCTTCCGGTTGTTGTACAGCGTGATGCTCGTGCTATTCTGCTCCTCTGTGATACTGAAGCAGCATGATTTCATTCCCTGGGATGAAGCCATCTTCTACGTCTTCACTGCGGTACGGGATGTGTTATATTTCCATTGACGACCAGGCCTTGTTTGCCTTGCGCCCGTATGCGGGTCGACTAAGCCCTGAGTAGTACTTGGTAGCAGGAAAGTGGTGAGACGTAGTGGGGGTACTCTGCGGGATGCTGTTACCAATAAAATATCTTCTGCTTGCACGCTTAATTGTGTCCGCACCACACTTTCACACTTTTCATTTACAGGGAGTAATCTGTCGAGAAACTCTAGAATTTCGAGACGGCATGCCTGCCCGTCGCCACAAGCAGCGTCCAAAGCGGCGGGTTCAGAAAGTCGGAAACGGCACAGGCTCCCAACCTCCCGTGTCGGAACCTCGCCTCAGTTACCGCGGGGATGGGAACCAGCTCAACCGGATGGTATCGGCATTCACGAGGCAAGCTGATGACATTGTTGGTTTTGTGGGGTTTTGCGGTTGTTGGTTCTTGTCGTCGTCGTCGTCGTCGTCCAAAATTAATGGATAACTTGATGGAATGTCCCAGTCGTTTCTGGATTCGCCGTCCGAGACTCCCCAACACGTAGGAGTAACCCTGGCCTATGCGTTTAACTCGTGCATCCAGCCAGCCTCGCCCCGTTGAATTTCCGGTGCATCAGGGTCCTCCAACAAACAGCGGGAATGCAGAACGTGAAATTCCTTAAAAGTTCCTCTCAACCAGTGGTTGCATGTTAACTCTTGGCCACTCAACGCGGCGACATCACCCAGGTTGTTGAACTAGGACCCACTGTGTGCAAAATATATTTCGGCATTGGCTCTAATGAAACATTGTCAAGCCACGTGGGAGACAACTTGCCGTTTAGAACCCTATCCCGTGTCTAGATACCCGGCCGGCTGCGGTTGACATAATCAATTTCCGATCCCTTCCTTACGCGAAAACACGCAGATACGTCTTCTACGACACGTGGAACTTTCTCGACACGTCGACAATCGGCTGCCTCCTCGTCACCTTCGTCTTTCGGATGATTGCTCTTGATGACGACTTCTTCTTGTTCCACGCTCAGTTTTTCTACGCCGCCAGCGCGCCTCTTCTTTTCTCGAGGCTGCTCGTGCTGTCGCAAATCGACGCCACCTTAGGGCCGATGACCCAGGTAAAACCACACAAGGTCAATACCACCGTGATATTCCCTCGAGGAAACCGTTTAGTTTGATATTCCTCGACCTCTGCTTCAGAGAATCCCAACCGTGCGACAACCTTGGACAGTGGATAGCAACTAGGTCCCTCGCCTACGTGTGCTGGACCTTGCCCGATGCCGTTGTGTGTAGATGCCGCAGCCATCCTTGCGATAGGTCGTTTCACGTAAAGGCGTGCCAATCGCCAATAGGACGAGCGTCCCGTAACGAACGGGGCATCGGAGAATCCTCTCTGATCGAGAACGCGGTGTTTAGAGTTGACGGTCTGATGGTAGTAGAGCTCTGGTGTTCTCAGAGGTCGATGCCAGCATTGCATGGCATGCGCAACACACTTGGTCTCGTTTGGTACGGAAGGTCTGTGTGGAAATAGAACAAACCATTGCAGGCTTCGTGCTTATTCGGTTCATGTTTCGTGCGGGGGTTGGCTACACCGAACGTGGAAACCATATATCGAGGTTGGCCCGCGTTGCATCGGCTGGCTTGTGATTTCGTCATTTGGACCCGCCTTATCACCACCCTCCACTCTCGTTCGTCCTCAACGAGAGCAGGTCATCTGGAGAATGATTTCGGACACGCTGCGGTTTTCGGCGTTCATCTCGGTGGTCATGCTAAGCTTCGCCCTGGCCTTCCACGCGGTCTTCCATACCTGCGGGGAGTTCGAAGACCCTACGTGCAACACCAACGACGACCCTGACTTCCCCCTTCGCGACGCCTTCGGAACCTTCGGCCGTTCGTTCGTGACGGTGTTCTCAGCCGCGCTTGGAGGACCGGACTTCGAGCTCTACGAGGCCGCGGGTAGCGAATGCAGGTGCAAGCTGCCTGACGGCGCCCAAGAAGCGGGGATTTTCTTGATGGTGGTAAGTGTTCTATGACTTGTAGTTCCTGCGGGCACCCAATCCCGTCACTCAGCTGTTCAAGAAACGATTCGGTGGCAATGTGTATCCAAATTTTGTTCATCCCCAACCTACAGTGCGAGTGAGAAAGCAATGAGAAATTGACCGTTTCAATCTCATTTTTCGTGTGACTGCCGCGCAGACGAAGTTAATCTTCGACTTTCTCTGATCCTATGCTTCCAGGCAACTTTCTGGCGTTTGGGACGTGCATTCGAATCTCGTTGCAAGTCACACGAACTTGGAAATATTTCTCACAAAACACATACACTCAAACACAACGTGCAAAGCGGAAAAATCGTGTGTCACCAATAATTCGACTTCACGATCGACGAGGGAAAGGAACGGCCGCACCCTTCTCGCAGAAGGAAAGAAGGAAGAAAAAAACCCTCCTCTGTGGTCTTCCTCGTGTGTGGCCCCGGTTGGTGCGTCCAGAAAATTGTCACGAGCGGCGAAGAAAACGGACGCCAAGTATATTTGGGATGGCAAAAAGCAAGCGCGTACTACGAAGTACGTCGAAACGGCGATGTTGATCGCAATGCATTTCTGAGCCTTAAGAGAAACCGTGCTCCTCCCTACATGTGTTGGCTGGATTCTTGCCTCCTCCATATCCCCACACATTCGACCAGCACGTCTCTCTTGAGGATCCTAGTATTTTTTTCGCCTCCATGGTCCACTTTGTCCCATTCTACAATGGCATCGGCACACATTGAACTCCGTCTAGATTGATTCTACAAGGTTTTCATGCGTTTCGTTTCACTTTCAGTCAGCCCCATGCAAGGATCGGTCGAGCACCATGTTCGGCGACTGACCAACAGGAGTTGCGTTGCTTTCTGCACATCAAATTCCTCGAACTCCCAACCAACCGAGGTCAACATAATCTGGTGATTCCTATACCTCTGCCTTCATTTCTTAACGTGCTCGAGGGTGTCTTCAAGGCGAGTAGGCCGCACCGAACAAAATTTTTATTGCGAGTGTGATGCGTTCGGTTCTCATCGCTAGTTTCTCCGCTGCGCGCTCGCCGACGTCCCTCCCGTAAATTCATCAAACCAGGTGTACATGGTGATAATGGCGGTGGTTTTGCTGAACCTGCTCATCGCTGTGCTCAGCACCGCACACAGTAAGGTGTACGACAACGGCGACAAAGAGTTCCATCTCGCGAGGGCGAAGTTGATCTACCAGAGTGCGCGCGTTGTAACACGCCGTCGCCCTCCTCCTCCGCTTAACTTGGTGAAGGTCGTGCTCGGTACCCTGATCGATGCCACGACCGAGCCTGTTCGATTCCGCCGGTGGATGGTAAGGTGCGGTGACCTACAGTGAAAACTCTCTGTCGATGGTTTGACGCCTTGACTATTACCCCAACCTCTTCTAAATCCAACGGCTTTGTGACCTTGTTTTAGCTCTTTCGCGTCCAATTCTGCAATATACCGGTGAGACAAAACCCATCTATTTATCACAATCCGGCCCACACCAAACGGCTGAAAAACACTTCCAAAGGTACCTATTGCTGAAGGTGTTTTGTGCTTCATTTTCCCACGTGGTAGGGCGACATTGTTGCCGCACGAGAGGTGAAGCACGTTAAAGTTTGGCAAGGACATCGACTCCGTCCATGGGGATACAAAGCTTCAGTTCGTGTCATCGATTATTCGTAATATTTGCTCAATGCATAGCTGTTGAGGTCGATGTTCGGACTGTGATAGACCTGTCAATATGTTTGAAGAGCGCGCCACCCTCAACGAAACATCCCTATATCTTATTTGTATAACTTAATTACGTGCCTGCTGTTACGGTACCACATTGAATCCTCACCACTATCCGTGGCGTATCTGCTTCATTGTTCAAAAACCCGTTCCTTAAAAGAAACCCTCCCGAGGACGAGAACGAGGCCAACCCTGCTGATGGCGCTGGTGGAGGAGGTGGAGGTGGTGGTGGTCATGAGAATGATGCCGTGGAGGGAGAAGCTGAGGGTGATCAAGGAAACATTGGAGGTGGTAGTCCCGGCGATTGCCCCATCGCTGGCACCCCGGGCGACGAATTTATAGCGTGGACACAAACACATGAATGGAGGACGTTTGAAGGGGGAGTCCAGAGGGTCTTGTTCGCCTTCACATTTGGCGCTGCCGCTATCGTGATGTCAGCCATCCTGTGGACGCTGTCCGTGCCGTGGGTTGCCTGGTGCCTCTTGCGGTTGGCTCATCCGGTGGTAAGAAGTTCACCCGTGTCCAGTGAAAAGTCGAGCCCTACGCAACAAAGATCGTCCTCGTTGGTGACGGCACGACGTAGCGTATGCCAAGTGGTATGTTAGGAATACAGACCCCAGCGGTTGTTGGATTGCACATGCGGCGCTCACCCCATGTCATTGTTGTCGTTGTTGGTGCTGCCGTACAGGTAAGGTTCTTCCGAGCTTCTAGGTATATGTATGTGGGAAGAGTGCTTACGTCGAAACGTGGGTAGGTATAAGGTTGGCCTGCGTTGGCCTGCATTTGATACGTGCAGGATGCGCTGGTCTGAGATTGATGGCGCCCGAGTTGTCTAGACACTAAAACAACGTCCCGATATTCCGAGATGAAAACCACGATTTTAGGTAGCAGGAACAGGCCGTCCCGCAATGTAGGTAGACGGGAAAACTTCCCTGACGCAGAGTATGTGCTGAACGTCATCACTAGCGTGCCCGTTCAAAGAAAAAGGTTTTGAATCCTAAATTGATGCTATCACCACATCTTTCCGCAACTGCTTGTTGCCGCGCGTGAACGTCTACTCGGTACATTTGAATTTTTGCGAATGAACGCACACCACAAGGTTGAAAAAAGAGCCGAAAACCTTGAGGATGAAGAAGACGACACAAATCAGGGGCTGGGCGACATCGAGGAAGAAGAGGAGATGAAAGAGAAGGTGCATCCTGGATACTTCAGGCGTATCTTCATCACCTTCCTTTGGTCGGCGGTTCTAGTCGTAGCAACCGCAGTCGCAGCCATCTTGTGCGCCCTTTACATATTGTTCTCCGTTGTCCTCTGGTTTGTCGGGCTCCATATGATCTACAAATGGGTAAGGACAAACTGGACGCCGGAAAGCAACGACCGCCCCAGGGCCATGCCAGGCCAAGAGGAAGGGGACCATTGGCAACGTGCATGGGATCTCGTCAGTCTGCGAAATCACGGGGTCCGCGAAGACTTCGATCAGGCACACTTCAACGTTCTCCCGTTCTTGAAGAGCAAGACGGGCTTGGACAGGCAACACCTGGCATGGCTTACCAAGGCCCGAGATGACAAGGCAAAGTCCGAGGAGGACCTGATCGATGGCGACCGGGAGCTCCCGGGCGCCCGCATTGACATGGAACATCTGCGTAAGGAGGCAGTGGGGCGCAACAACGGTGATGGCGGAAAGGATAGCGGCGATGGCGGGGAGACGAAGGAAGCGGTAGGAAGTGGTGGTGGTGGTGGTGGTGCTCCTAGCCCGGAAGTGCAGGGTGGGGCGGTTGGAGATGGTGTCTCTGGGGCAACCAGTACAGCAGCCGCTGGTAGTGGCGGTGCCAATGAAGGTACGACTCCCCGGGCGGTTGCAGGTGGTGGTGCTGCTAGCCCGGAAGTGCAGGGTGGGGCGGTTGGAGATGGTGTCTCTGGGGCAACTAGTACAGCAGCCGCTTGTTGTGGCGGTGCCAATGAAAGTACGACACCCAGTGGAGCAAGCTCCCCTGCTTCTACAACTTCTACTTCGATTGCCGCCGATGCGGAATCTGGTGGACCGGCTGTGGATAAAACAAGCACAGCGGCCACGTTGAACGACGACAAGGCAACCGGAAGTGGTGACACTGGTGGCCACGATTCTGCAGAGCACGTCCAGCCCAGCAAAGGAGGCCCCAGCTCGACGTTAGACGGAGATACCAAGATGGGCCCCGTGAGGGTCACAGGTTCTGCCGCCGTGGTTACAACCGGCAGCAATGGAGGCAGGGGTGGCGGTGGTGGTGATAGGGGTAATGCTCGCGGTACTGGTGCCCAGCCAACAACTGCCGATGATGTCGCCGCTGAATCTGCTGATGATGATGATAGACTTGGTGACGACGGAGATTTGGTTGACAGCGACGAAGAGCTACGTAGGCTGGAGGTAATGGTGCGGCGCTTGCGCGACAAATGGCGAAAAAGGAGGGGTAAAGAAGGCCGCAACAGACAGGACCGATAGTCGGAAGGAGAGATACATTTGGTGCCAGCTTTGGTGAAAATACGGACGATACTGAAGCTTTGGGGGTTAGTCTTGGCCGTGATACTGGCGCATGTCAGTGAAGTCGATATATTTTTTGCAAAGGTGGGGTATGTTTTTGTAGTGTTTCTGAAGGGCGCAATCTATATACTGTAGGTTTAGGGCGCCAACATGATCGGTTTGAGTGCTGCGTCGTCTTCCAACGACACCGAGTAAGTGAATGTATGTATACCTTCGTGATGATCGATATCACCTCGCGAGCAAGTTTTGGATGTGTGGCCGCTCTACTTATCTTGTGTAGACGGGAGTGAATGGTCAATAAGAACGCCACACCGCCGGAGGGTGGTCCCAAAGCTGATCCGACAAAGTCGAGTCCGCTCTTTGGGCGAGAAACCTCCTGAAGGAAATATTGTAAATGTTGCTCACAACTATTACTAGGGTTAAGGATTGGCCCCCCGCCCCCCAATGGGGCTGGGGGCCAACATCCAGGACGGATGGTGGTGAGTGTCCGGGAGGAAGGGAAGAAGAAGAAGGGGAGAGGATTTCTAGGGGCGGGAAGAAGGGACCACGGTGTTGGGAGAGGCAAGGAAGTGGTGAAGAATTTCGGCATTCGACAAGCGCGCGGTCCCGTCGGGGGTGAAAGGGACATGTCAGTCCGTGGTTTTGTCTACCGGAATCGAAAAGCCGAAAAATCGAGGTTTGTATTCATTATGCACATAACGATCGAGGAGGCCGATGAGGAAGGTACGAAGAGAGGAAATTGCACCCCACGTTCGAAGTTCGAAGTCGGTGTGAAAACCGCGGCAAGGAAGGAGTGCGAAGCAAAAAGAAAAGAAAAAGGAGACGTCGACGTTTGCGTCGTGGAACGATCCTTCCTTCCGTATAACGCAGGTACTCACCAAATGCAAGACGGGGAGGAGGCAAAATACCCATCGTGAACGTCAAAGCGCAGGTCATAACCAACCGCATATATATGACTCGTGCGCGGAGAAGTTACCACGGAGACTTATCAACAAGAAGTTTGAAGGCCGGCTGAGAAGGTTTGAAGACACAAATACTTAAGGGCGCAGGGGGGATCGCAGTACCTCCTCTGAAAAATCCAGGAAACGCCTGCATATCTCGGTTTTCCAAAGTCTAACTGCAGTACGAAACTACCATCGTAAATTAACCGTCCGCAGCGGTCGCTTGTGTACAATGTTAACACCTGACGTTGTACCCCTTGCGATACACTACAAACTAACGCTCCGCGATTTTCCAAACGACCCCTCTATCATCGAGGTCCGTGAACCACAAGCT